TTAACTGCATTCTGTTTTGTAATAAGTCAGGGCAGCTAGCTGGATTTCTAGTAAGTTCTGGCCCTTGGCTTGTTTAAAAACCTTGTACTCATTCTCACCAAAAAGAATTAGTTATCTCTGTGCTGTGTCTTAGGTGGAATGAGTTCATGCCACCCCATTTTAGGTCCTGCCACGTAACCCTTCATTGTAGACCATAAAGGGTATGGAATGTCCTTAGCACATCCCTCCATGTGACATGTATTCTCTGAAGACAAAGTTTGGGTTCTCAAGAGTTCTCATCAAGGTGGCCTGTGCTTTGACCACACTGGGGGCAATTACAGCACTTTAGAGCCTGGTCTAGCCATGGTGACCTAAATGTCACTAAGCTATGGACCCTGAGCATGTCCATCTGCCCACCTGTGTGACCCTGCTCTCATGATGAAATGTGAAATGGAAATGGAGCTGGTGAAGGGACAGCGGCCCTTCAAACTGCTAGCACCATCCCCAGAAAAACGTGCTGCTTCCAAGGTTCTAAGGGCTTGTCTCGCCTTAGGAGTGGCTGGCTCTGTATCTCCGTCACACCAGCAATGGTGGGAGCTAAGGCTGAGGAAATGAAAGAACTTGAGAGGAGGGAGAGGAAGTATAGCGATGTACTGGTTTTGAAAGCTTGGTAAGTCTCCTGTTTCGTTAGCATGTTAGCCCTATTTTACTGAGCTTCATAGGTCTTTCATCATAAAGATAGAATCTCTGTGGGGTTTTCTTAAATGAGTTAATGAGAAAAGCACTTTAGAGTAGCGCCTGGCACTTCATAAGGGCTGTATATGTGTGTGTTGTCATCGTCGCTGTTACTTGTGCTCTTTAGTTAAATTGATCTGTTAAAATTGATAAGGAACGGACCTGACCAGGCACCAGGAAAACAAAGATAAATAAGACCTACTTCTTCCTCTTTTCTGAGCTTCAGAGATGGTTGGAGAAAGACATACACTTGCACACACACTCAGGTACACACACAGCTTTGGTTTGGGTTCATTGCGGGAGTGCAACCCCATATTGTGTGTATTTTAAATATCCCTTGTGTGGGGTCCACCGGGTGACGTGTAGGTGGAGTGATCCAGAAAAGGCTTCTCCGAATGAGTGATGGCAGTAGATGGAGCAGGGCGGGGAATGGAGGTGGAAGAGATAGGTGGGCCCGCTAGGGAGTAGTTCTGCGTGTCTGCAGCATAAAAGGTGGGTGGAGGGTTTGAGGTGTGAGAAAAGTAGACAAATACTGTTGCCAGTTGCAAAAGTTGCAGAAGGCCTTATATGCCAATGCAGACTCTGAGGCGTTATTGCAGACAGCATTGGACTTCAAGTCGAATGGTGCAGTCAGCTTTACACTTCAGCTGGTCAGTGTGGTGACGTGTGCAGGGTGGGTTGGGTTGGTTTGGGTTTGGGTTTTGGTGGCAGCGCCATGTCCCTGAACTAGGAAATGTGGGAGGCAGAGCAGCAGGTTCAGGAGAGGAGTGGGGGCAGACATGATTTCTCCAGGGCAGAGGCCATTTAGGGCTGGAGTGAGAAAGCGTTCCCCGCATGGCCGTGGTCTTCCTTGTGGTTCTTGGTGGCAGGTCACTGCACGGGGGCCAGCATCGCCTGCTCCCATGAGCAGCCATCACAGCAGCTGTTGGAGGTTCTGTGTCTGCGCCTGGCTGCTCGGCGGCCTCATTCTCAACATTGGAGTGTCAGCTTAAGGGAGGTTTCTTACTAGTAACATTCTCTTACCCCCAACGGGAAGAGCTGCCCTGTTTGTGCCTTCCGGCTTTCTAAGTTGTAGTTTGGGAGAGGATTGTTTGTGTGGCTGTGTTTTGGCTCTGACGTTAGAAAAGACGAGCTTTGAACCAGAGAGGTTTAAATCATGACAATGGGGGTGGACTTTCCCCAGCAGCCTCACAGTGGGTCACCCTGCTTGTGGGTCCCCAGGGTGACGAGGTGGCGGGGGGAGGGAGAGGGGTTGTGACAGGGGAGGTGGGAGATGACACCTGCCTGGACTAGCGCGGTGGTCCTGGGCTTGGAGAGGAGTGGCCTTTGGGGTTGTGGGCTGGTTTGTTCTTCCAGTTTGTGTCGGGGACTGTGGATAAAGGACCTTCCTTCTCCTCGTGTTGCTTAGAGGAAATGATCTGTGGTGAAGTGGGGTTCTGAGTCTGTGGTTGATTTGGCCCGAGCGGGTCTGAGCCACGCCAGAGGATTTGTTCCCAGCTGTTTGTCTTCCAGATGTGCGTCCATACCGGCTGTTTGTGTCAGACACTGCCAAGGCCTTCATCCACTATCTCACTTAAACCTCCTAACGAATCTTGGAGGAAGGTAGAATTACTAACCTCATTTTACAGACGAGGAAAGGGAGTGGCTTGTCCAGGGTCCCAGACAGACACGGTTCTACGTGACAGAGTTGGAACTTGAACTAAGGTGTGTCTGACCCACCTCAGTGCTCTAACCCACCATTCTGTATTACACCTTATTGGTTAAAAATTCTGACTTTGGTGCTTTTTTGGGGGCAAAGCAGTTTTCATATAACACTTAGCTGAGAATCCAAACGAGCTTGTTGCAAAACAGTGGCAAAGGCAATTTAATAATTAAAGTAACTTCATCTTGTCCTTGATTGCATCATGTCTTCGGGCGGACACCGAGGATCTTGTAGCTTTTTTGACTTCTTGGCCCGTTTTTGATTTGTATATTGGTGTCATGAGAAGATGTCAGTATGGAAATGCTTGGCTGTCTCTGAGCGGCATTAACAGTGCAAGGTCTAATGAGTTCAGAAATCTTTCAGGAATCAGATCTGGGACGAGTGCTTCCCTTGGCCACAGGCTTTTTCCTCCTAAACATTTGGAGAGGTCTTGTCTGACTTTTAGCAGCCTCGGAGATTCTACATAGTTCATTCATGGGAAGGGCAGATGGAAAATCATTAGCACTTCTCTCCTTCAGCAAATTGATATCTCATCAAACCTGGGCTCTGGTGGCTTTAAGACAGTAAGCCTTTTTACTCCTATAGGATAGTTCACACAGGGTGCAGTAACCCCACTAAATTAAATTGTGTACTTCGCTCCGGTGCAGAGGGGTCACCATGAAAAGCACTGGCTGCTGACTTACTTTACCTGGCAGTGGTTCAACTCTGTGACAGGCCTACCTCTGATTTAAACAAATTTGAGAAATATGTAAAGTTTTGGAAGCAGTTTTGCACTGATTTGATAAAAGAAACCACAAAACACTGCAGCGCAGGTGTTGAGAATGTTTGAAAGCTGATTGAGGGAAGCAGATGGCTTTAGTCAGTGGCATCCAGCCAAAAGAGCAGGTGCTGGTCATGTGACCGCTGGTTACCAGGGTAATCTGATTGCTCTTGGCGTGCAGATGAAAGGAAAGGGGCCCAGCGTTCAGCTGTAGTATTGTATAATTTGTGGCAGTTAGAGCGGAAATAAATGCTGGAAATGGAGCCTCATAGTAGGGGAGACTTCTGTCCATGTGTAGCGTAAACACTAGGACAGTTGGATGAGGAACTGTTGTATGGATTTTTTTTTTAATTTAAAAAATATTATTCTTTCCATGGATCTTTTGGGGACTTTAAGTTTTTAGGACACTGCCTTTTTAAAAAATTTTAAATAAAAATAACTCTTTAAACCTAACTGCCGTTTGCTATAATCTTGAATTCTTGTAAGTTACTTCCTTATGTGGCTATTTACTATGCTAAAATGTTCACAAAATAAAAACAAGCTCTGAGTATTTAGAAATAACTAGTTTAGGATTACCAAATATTTTATTTACTCACGACAAAAATACATTTTAAGTGGGTGATGGATACTTTATTATACTAACATGCTTTGGAAATATTTTGCATGACATGTGCTTTATTGAAATGAAAGCATAGAGAAGTCTTGGTGTCTTTTGTAGTAGCTGAGGCTGAAAAAAAATGCTGTTTAATGCATTCTGTCAGCAGTACTTTTCTGGAATTTATAAACTTCAATAAATAAACTTTTTAAAGGTGTTTGAAATACATCTTTTTTTCAAATTTGTTAGAATTTAGGCTTTCTAGAAATAGTAAATATAATTAGGTGAATTTAAATGTTGGATAATGTGATAATGTTAGAAAACCTTGGGGCTGGTTTGGAAATTGGAACGGAAGGTAGCATTAAATGTACACTCTAAAAGAATGTCAAATAAAGGTTCTAAAGGTAATGGTAAACTTAAAAATTCTTTTTTTTGAGAGTTCATTCATGTCTTTTGACTTATGTAACATTCAAATCCTATTAACGTTTGACAGAAACATAGTATGGAACATGCACTTTAATTATTGGGGTCGCTTTGCTATATTTTTGTATTTCAGAGACCTAGCTTTTGAAAGAGAGGCTATTGTGACTTTATAAAAAAAAAAAAATGCCTAGCACCAAAATAAAGCTTATTTTAAATGAAGAAGACTGCATTAAGCAAAATTATGTGGAACAGGAAATTGCCATATATTTTGTTATATTTTAAAAGGCTGTCATTGGATAATAATGTAGCTGGATGACATAATAGAGGACACCTAGTAGTGTTGGTTATGAAAAGGACCTAAATAGGAGTATTTAAAACTCTTTGCAAGAAACACAAAGAAATGATCATTATAGTCTAGTTTCCCTTGACGTTTAAAAAAAAAAAAACATTCTGTACCTTAAAAACTTCATAGCAAAACTAGTTCTTAATCTGATTTTTCATTATGGCTTGGTGTATTGGCAGGGATTTTGCATTGTCTAGAAGAACAAGTGTACTCAGTGTGGTACTAGGAGTTTTTGCATGAAATTTCTTTTTAATTAGGTCAGATATTTGCCAAAGGTCATCAGTGTGGGGTTTTGCCGTAAAAACTTAATTGAGTGTACCATTTAACTATAAATGGCCAACATGCATCGATTTATCAGTTGTCATTGATACTTTCGTGATATTAATGTGGGAAATATAAGGCATGGGGCATGTGGAAAACCTCATTAAAAAGTGAACACTAAGTGATCCACTTTGAATTCTAGTAATAAGAAACCTGATTCAGAAGCAAGTGCTTTGAAGAAAAAGGTCAACAAGGGAAAAACAGAAGGTTCTGAAAATTCAGACTTAGACAAAACGCCCCCACCATCTCCTCCTCCTGAAGAAGATGAGGACCCCGGTGTTCAGGTAATACCGTCATTCTGATCCCGAGCCTTGGTTATTTAGCATGGGTAACTTCAGCCGCATATCAAGTACACTAGACCTCCCCTGTCTTTGTTATGGAGCTGCTTTAAAGGTGGCTTTATTGTTGTCTGGAACACTAGATCCATAATGGTGAGAGCTGGGGGCCAGCACGAAATTAAACCCCTGACTTCTTGGTTTTGTCATCTTTGACCCCATGATAAATAAAACTGAGAATCTTCATTTACTTCTGTAAATGTATCTTTCGATGTTGATGTATGTGTTAGTGTTAACATATTGTTGATATATGTATCATGTAAAGCTGCTTTCACATTTCTGATTTTCTCTGAAGTTTGGTGGCTTGTCAATTCTTTTATTTTTCAGATTAAAAAACCAACATGTAATCTGTAGCTTGTCTTAAGGTTTCTGACATTTGATGGCCAGAGTTGAGATGTATAGTCATGTAATAATAAAGTTTCTATGAACAAGTTAGTGACTTTCTGGATGGCAACGGTGCAGAACTTTTCAGTGTTAGATTCTCCTGACTTTTGGAGAATTTTGTAGGAAGCAGTTGAAAAACTGGAATAAACATTAGGAATTTAGATTCTTGTGTGTAAAGCACACTGCCTTCACTGATTGGACTATAAGGTAAGAGGCCCTTCCACGTGACCGTTAAAAATTATTTCCTTGTTACAGTCTCTGGAAGCATGCCAATACGTTCCACTGGGATGGCTAAGAATGTCACTTTAGTGAATGACATCTAAGTTATCAAGGAAGAGTTACTGGAGTCCTGCTCAAATAGGAAGTCAGCCCCTAACAGCCTGCTTGCCTTTTTCTGACTGTTCAGTCCACACTAAGTATTTGCTACCTATACCTCTACCAATTCTCTTAAAAAGTTAGAAAAAAAAAAAAATGTGCCATTTGTAGCTCTCTTCTAAAGAATTTCAGATGGGTTTGGTTTTTGTTTGTTTTAAAGATTTTATTTTTAAATAATCTCTGCACCCAGCGTGGGGCCCGAACCCACAGTCCTGAGATCAAGAGTCACATGCTCTTCTGGCTGAGCCAGCCAGGTGCCCCTGTTTGTTTGTTTTTTAGTAGAACTCCCTGATGTCTATAATGTCACGGAATGGCTTAAGCTAAGAGGGCCCGAAAGGGAGAGGAAAGAGAGAGTACCTGTGAATGAATGTGGTTTGGTTTGGTTCCGTAACTAACTTGTGATGCCTCTGGCCGTTGGGGTGAATTTTGTAATTTCCTTTTACACATCACTGAAAAGATAGGAAAGGTGAGTAGACATCTTTTTTTAATTGCTTAGGGACTTTTAAAGTATTTGAATGATTTCAAATTTTATTTTTATGCACAAGGGTGTTTTTTTCCTGCATAGTGTTGGCTTAAACTAGGGCCTTCATGGCAGTAGTATTTGGACAACATTAAACAGATTTATTGACACAGGTCAAGAAAATTCCATTGTTCCCTCACAAATAACGCTGCTGTTTCTTAAAAGTATTTGTATTAATAGAGACTGGGTTGGACTTTATGAAATACTAATTTTTTTTTCCTTCTGCATTTCAGTTATAGAAGAAGGCTAATCTATTCAAATGAACATCAGTGCATCCTTTCTAATTGGCTAGTGCATAACTGTTATGGGTTCAGTAGCTCATACAAGCAACCACCCAAGGAGATCTGACTTTGAAGGCAGGTCTTTCTCTGTGTCAGTGACACAGGAAGTGATGCTGATTGCTGTTTGTTGTTTCTTCCTGTAGCATATGCATAAAGAGCTTACAGTTCTTGAGTTCTGCGATTGATTTGTTTAAACTAGTAAATGCCATATATAATGTAAACTCAAAATTGTATCTCAAAGTACTACAACAGAGAGATAGTGGAAACACGTTTAAGTCTTCTCTTTGGTATAGCCGTGTTAATTATGTGCAACTTTTCTAAAGCAATCCAAGGTTAACAAGTTGACCTATTATTTTAGTGTCAGTTCAGAAGTTTTGAGTTATGGCTTATTTTATTTTTTTAGATTTTATTTATTTGAGAGAGAGAACGAGCAGGGGGAGGGGCAGAGGGAGAGAGAGAGAGGCAGACTCCCCATTGAGCAGGGAGCCCGATGACCCCGAGATCATGACCTGAGCTGAAGGCAGATGCTTAACTGATTGAGCCACCCAGGCACCCCTTGAGTTATGGTTTAAATGGAATGCTTACACTTTGTTTTGAGTCACCGAAATCTTTCAAATAATGATAGTTTAACAGTCCATAATAGAAGCATATTATATAATAAATTTTATGTTGGGAAATTGTAAAAGGAATCTCGATACCACAGAACTTAAGATCAGTTATTATTTAGAAGGCAGAAAGCCATAATAATATGTTAAATTTTCAGAAAAAGATTTAGTTCTATTTTGGGGTTTTTTTGCTCCTATGAAGTGACCTTGTATCCACTACTAACTAACCTCATCACCATTGCATAGATTTGTAACCCCAAGTTGATGTGAGGGCAAACTTCCATAATTAAAAAAGTTATATCCGCCAGTCATAAATTTCTGTTCAATAAAAAGAAAAGCTTCCTGTTTTATTGTACTGTAACATTTCTTCAGTAGTGAGATTTAGTGTAAAGTGGATTTGTCTTAGACTCCATCTGAGGGTGTTTAGTTACTTAGGCTGGAATGAATACTGTGACGTGGCCCCGACCAGGGAAACCTGATAAAACATCACAGATGCATCACTGGTAGCACACCCCTCCTTATAGTAATGACAACAGGATGAAAATACAGATTAGTCCATTTCAGTTTAGTTAAATTGATGTATTAAATGAAATACAGATATTATGCCAAATTTTACAAAATTAAAATACCGTTCCTCATAACAGCCCTTTATAGCTTAAAGAAATTGACAGTTCAGAAGTGAGGTGTGGTTAAATGGGTACAGGAGCAGGAGTTACTCTGGATCAGCTTTGGGAAGAGAGAGGGGAAGCTGTGCAAGGTAGCCTGGCCTTGTAGCCTAAGTGCTTTCTGATTTTTTTTTTTTTTTTTTTTTGGAAAGGTGGAGCTAATTCATGATGACTTTAGTCCTCCTAATTTCATTTGGCATTTGTATGTACCATGCACTGTTCTGAATGCTTTAAATGAATTCCATTATGTGGTCTCATTCCTTTATGTGATCTTTAGGTATGCTTATGACGTAGTTAACTACCATTAACCCCACTCTGCAGACGAGGAAACTGAGGTCCACAAAATAACATGTCCAAGGTCACATAGTGAGAACCAGGGCTAATTCAGACACTCAGCGCTCAACTCCAGGGCCCACAAGGTCAGACTGCCTTCGGTGGTGTGGGGAAGGGTCACAGATGGCAGAACCCCTGCTGTTTTTGCCCCACCCTGACCTGGAATTGGTTCTGGGCGGGGCTGACTAGAAGGGTCAGAGGAGGAACCTCTAGTCCAGGTTGCTACTCCTGCTGGTCTAAGCCGTTAGGAAGTCCATTAATAAGATGTTATCCCACATACCTTGAGTCAGAAAGGTGCTTTGCACCCCTGCAGTCACAGCTGTGTAGGGCTAAGAGCTCATAGTCTCCAACAACTTATTTGACAGTCATATTATACCAAGTTTGTGTTGTGAGTTGTCTCACATCCCCTCGAGAGCAGAAAGAGCAGAAAAGTAATAAAACAAAATGAGAGTAGAGGTGCTTGACTTCCTTGGTCCTGACTCGAGCCACGAATGTCCTTGCTTGTTCCTCCCCAGATCTACATGGTGGGGTGACTTGTCCTTCTGCCTTACTACTGACCAACTTTAAAATTCACGAGTCTCTTTTTAAAAAGTTTTGTTTCATAGTTCTTAGTAAAAAGTTCGCTAGTGTTACTTTTCTCAGTATTTTTATTCATTCTATGTGCTTCAGGAACTCATTTACAAGCTGTAATCCTACACTTAATCGGTGATTTAAAACTTACACATGTCATTTTATAGTTATGTTAGATTTTTATCAAATACACATATTAATGAAAGGTTATTTCTCCTCATTTTTAATTAACTGACAAAACTAATTCTTCATCAGAAAGGTCTAACAGTACAGAATTATTTTGAACAGAAAGTGTAAAACTCCTCCTGCTCCATTCACTTCACTCCCTAGAATCAATAGCTATTAACAATTTGTTGTGTCTTTTCAGTTTTTTTTTTTGTGATTGAAAATGTATACACATATACGTTCATTTTTTAGGAAATATTCATTGAGTCATAGAGAAGTAAACAGGACATTCAGTGTCCTTGTCTTGAGTTTATGTATTGATGATCCACATATACAAGATATGCACAAGCGCTTCTGTTACCTTAAATAGAATTATAAGTTACTTATTATTATGTGACTTGCTTTTTTTTATTTTATAATTTATCTTGCAGATATTCTAAGATCTAAAAGTTTGGGTCTAAAAAACAATGGAGGTATTTTGCAGATATTCTGAAGATATGTACCTTACTAGAAGTGCAATTGCTAGGGTCAAAGGGTGGGGCATGTTTTAAATTTTGACAGACATGACCACACTGTCCTGCAAAGGTGGATTGGGTTCCCTTTTGACACTGTGGTGGGAGGGGACCTATTTTGCCAGTGATCTTACTAATACCAGCTATTGCCAGGATTTTACATTTTAATCAGTGTGGTAAAAAATTTAACCAAAAAGAACAGAGTTAGTTTTTGTAGTCATTCATTATAAATTCTGCCATTCAGTCCTTCATCTCTTCAAAAATATTCAGACTATTGCCAAGATTAAAATGCAAACCTTTTGTTTAAATGGCCCTCTGAGTATTTATATAGAACTTTATAATTTGCAGATTATCTTCTAATGCCTTCACTTTTTTGGACCTTTTGTTAGAGGAAAAATTTTAAAACATACAAAAGTAGAGAGAATAGTAAAACAAACTCCTCTATACCTGTCACCCAGCTTCTATATTGCTTTCACTTCTGAGTAAAGAATCAGTTCTGTCGTTCCTTCTGTTGCCCAGCTGCAGGTCTGGTAGCTGGTGGTGGAGCCTCAGCAGCCCCCGGCGCCTGACTCCAGATTCCCCCCCATCTCCATTATGTTCGTTGCCACTGTGGCTTCTTAGGTGACTTACAGGGTTAAACTCATCAGCTTTTCTTTAAGACTAATTTAAAAAAAATACATATATCTTACCATCTGAAAAGTTATAAAGAGCATCAGCGATGGCTTTTTAAACCTGCTTTGTTGGGTTTTTTGTTTGTTTGTTTTTGTTTTAGAAGAGACGTTCCAGTAGGCAAGTGAAGAGAAAGCGATACACGGAAGACTTGGAGTTCAAAATTTCTGATGAGGAGGCAGATGATGCAGACACTGCTGGTAGAGACTCCCCCTCCAACACCTCGCAGTCGGAGCAGCAGGTCAGCCGCCCTTCCGTGTGGTTCTCACGTGCCTTGGAGAAGGTGGACCAGAGATTTCATAGCTGGAAGCCTTGGGCTCTGAGCCGGAGAACATTCATCTACTGTTGGATCACGTGCTATGGGCTAGTAGTTGTTCAGCAGTATCTTTTAGAAAGCCCTGTTTGCTGAAATGTATTTTTATATAAGCCTATGATACGTAATTTGACACAGTTTTGGACAATTAATGGTCTATGTTGAGGAAGAGTCAGAGCGAGGATGCAAGGAGACAGCTGAATTCAGGGCTCGAGCTTCTGGGACTTTAATAAACCACTCAAGCTTGTCTCCTGCTGTTAGGCACCGTCAGAACCCCTTTATGAAATTACTGCCTTGTAGTACCCAGCAGGGCATACTTTATTCTCTGTGCAATGTAAATGATGGATAAAATAGTTTGTATAAAATATGGGTAGTAATGTAGGATGGATTATTGTAAAGATCTTTTTTTTTTTAATGTCCTTTTGTTAGCATTACTGTACTTTAGTTAACAAACTGGTAACCCATTGAAAAGTATATTAAATGCAGTTTTTTACTTTATTTGGTAATTTGTGCTATGTTAAGTTGTTACATAACGCTTTATATGACCAACATAGATAAAAGCTGCCTACAATAACAGAATGATGAGTATATTTACCCCATGGGTATAGATGAGGAAAAGTTATATTTTTGACTGCTATCATGCGGAGATTATTTTCTCTTGGCAGCTGGAGTTTTTGAATGTTCTCTGGCTTTAGGGACCCATGCTAGTCCGCGTAATTAAACCACATAATCACGAAGTAATAAATACAGATCTTCCTTTTGCCTTTCTGGAGAGTGAGAGTCTTGTTCTTTTCAGTCATATTTCTCACTGGTGACTTTGTACCCAGTAATTTAAAGGGTATGAATTAAAAGGGGATGGATGTGCAAAGGGGATGATTTCTTATTTTTATATCATGGAATGAAATGATTACCATTTGGACTGATTTATTCTACTTTTTTTATTTGTTTTGGTTTGCTTTGTTTTTTTTTTTTGTTTTTGTTTTTGTTTAAGGAATCTGTTGATGCAGAAGGTCCAGTGGTAGAAAAAATCATGAGCAGTCGTTCAGTAAAAAAACAGGTAAGCACCATTTGGAGTGATCAAAACCTATGGTGTATGTCTGACTCTTAAATTATTTTTTGCTTCATAATTTCCTTTAAAAAATTCACTATTGTAAAACAGAACTTCTGGTGATATTTCTAATCCTGTCTGATTTATTAGCCAAATATAAAACTTTGGGATATTTAGCCCCAAATGAAATTGAAATATATCAAACAATCAGTGATTTACCCCATTTAGAGTAGGCAAGAAACTCAACAGTCGCCAAAGAAATGTATAGGGCTTTTAGAGTTATAGGCTGCCTCTTTCATGAATATTATTTATAAAAATCATAAACATGAATTTACCTCTCATCTCCCTTAGGAAAGTTCCCTGCCTGCCCCTGCCCCTGCCCCCGCCCCAGGATGGAGGTTTATCATTTTAGTGAGTAGGTGTTTTCTCATACTTTTCATAACATTCTTCATATCCAGTTAAAATATTCATTAATATCTTTTTTTGTCAGTGCAAAGGTGAAAAACAGAACTGTTTTCAGCATAATTTTTTTTTAAAAGATTTATTTATTTATTTATTTTAAATAATCTCTACACCCAGTGCGGGGCTTGAACTCACAACCCCGAGATCAAGAGTCGCATGCTCCACTGACTGAGCCAGCCAGGTGCCCCTTCAGTGTAGTTTTTGAAGATAATATGACTTTCTTCAGTATGATTTCTTCAGAATTAGTCAAAATTTATGTTGATCTGCAAAGGTGAACTCTAAATACCTGTCACTAGTCTGATAACTTTGTCACTGAGGAACACATATCCTCTGTGACAAAGCAGTCCAGTAACACTGTATTTTCTTTTACTGTATTTTCTTTTACTGATTGAGATTCCCCATTTCATCCCAACCATCTCCCTCTTGCCCAGTTGGAGAAAATGTTTTATTTTGCTTGAAGAATTACATAGTCATTGAGATGCATCTCTGTGTTCCAACATACAATTTCCAGTGTCCCTAGAAAGTGGTGTCCTTTAGATATAGGGTGCCTGTCTTTCAGCTTGAATCATTGTTAAATGCAGTTCTTTCTTTTTATTTACTTTCCAGATAGGTGGGAGTACAACCTCATTGTTTTGATATGTGAAATCAGCTTTTTTTAGAATAAAAATGTAAGATGTATACAAAATGTAACTTCCCATTGAGAGAGAGGAGACGCGGAGGAATCCGGGAGACCCCAGGCTTATCAAATAGGGAACCTTTGCTCTTCAAATGCTACTGTCTAGAAACCCTTGAAAATGGGTTTTAGACCAGCAGGGCACTTCTCTTTACCTTTGTTGCAGTACGGTTTGCTTTTCTATTGTGTTATTCAGAGTGTGGGTTCTTATCAGAATATACAGCTCTAGTTCACATGAAAATAATCAAAAATGACATGTCAAGATATTTTCAAATTGAGTGTAGGGGATGAGGGGGAGATACGGAATGGCTGTGTGTTGACTCTTTGAACATGATGACTTCCTCTCTGATGAATTAAATGGTAAAATTTCAACCAAATTTCCCACCTGTTCAAGCAGAAATGAGCACTGTTTAACTCAATGGAAAGGTTGCATTTTTGTCCTGCTAATGACTCTGGAACTGTTAATTTGTGAATTGTAGATATATGGTAAAATTTAAATACTTGACAAGCTCTAAAGAATAATCCCCTTCATTGAATTGAAGTGACTGTTGGAGTAAAGAGCCTGTGGTTTGGATAGGATGTTTAATTTTCATCCAGTTGATAGTGCTTCAGTAGGCATACTCGGCAGGTTTGGGGGTTGCACATTATGATTAGCTCTGTTATTCAGAGCTACTTAGACTATGCATTATGTAGGACATTGCTTTTTCTTTCTGCTTTGCCCACTTTACAGCCCTTTGTCTTTTCTCATGACCCTTAAAAGGTAGGAATAGGTATTGTTACCATTTACAGACAGCCGGGGTTATTTTATCTTAGGAGGTTAAAAATCACTTTGTTTTTATATGAGGGTGGAGTATTTGTTGAGTTGGTGGTGAGTTTTCGGACAGAGATGAATGGAAAAATTGCTCTGGAAGGGGAGGTATGCCTTGAGGTGTGATTTAAAGTCAGGATGAGATGTAGAGCTCATTGAAGGGCTTGTACATGACTGATATTTCATTAAGTGTGGTAAAAAACCATCAGAACGTTGTAAACATGAGCAGGTACTAACTTTTTAAACTGGTAATGTTCTTGAAATAGTTACTTTAGTTAAAATCAGCTTTATTAACGGAGCAAAGTGTGGCAAATAGAAACAAAAGGAAATTTGAGATCTTTCTGTGGATTCTAGCAATGCTTGCTGGTCTGTGCCCTACTATCATGAATAATTGAAGAAGTAGCTGTGAGAGGGTGCCTTTATTTCCCCTGGCAGCGCTACAGAAACTCGCTGTGAGCTCTCAGAGCCTACCCTACATGGTGCTGACACATAGTGGGGACTCAGATAATGGTTTTCAAAGTCCGTTGACCTCATCACTGTAGCCTGAGAAGCATTTCCCATTGTGATGGAGTTATGCAGACGTAGAGCTCCTCTCGCCACGCCTCTGTAATTCAGCGCCTCGTGTTAAATAGGGATGGCCCAGGCACGTATGTTGTTCTAAACTCATGTTCATGCATGTGAGACCCAGTGGAAGGGATGTAGTTGATACTTGTATTTGAATTTTGAGGTAGATTTCAGAATGGACTTTTGGATTGTACAGTGGTTAATTTTCTTTTGTTTTCAACATTTAGCCCGTCATGTAGCCCTTTCTGCTTGGAGCCATCTGTCCTTGGGGAATAATAATTCAAATTCTTTTTGTATTGGAAGGTCAAAGATAGTTTTAAAAGTGAATTCTGACTATATTCCCTGGAATTCTTTATCTTTCTTAAGTTATCCCATATGTTTTCTTAAGAGCTAATTTTAAATTCCAGGCTATTTGTTTTAATCCTCTTCAGCTGAGCCCACTAGTAACAACAACAAATCGTATGTAAAGCAGGCAAAAAACTCTCCGTTGCTTTTATTACGTCCTATTTCTCCATAAGTGAACTATAACTTGCTGTCTCTGGTTAGAGTATAGAGTAGGTTGGGTCAGAAGTAGGAAGTGATTTGTACCTTTGCTTTATTGATATCTTTATCAAGGTGCTTTCTCTTTCTGTGGTCAATTATTTAACAACATTCTCCCTTTTGGCACTATAGTTTAGCTTTGTTTCTCCAGTGTGGCTGCTTAATTTAGTAATAGAATGCCTAGGAAAGGTCATTATTTTAGGCTGTTGGATTATCATTACTGGATTGCTGTTGTAGAATCCAGGTGGCCAAAGGAGTGGACTTTCTGGTTCCTTTGAACAATGGGAACGAGTATAGCTTAATATGTTTGGAACTTTAAATTTCATATGAGTAATAAAGATTTTCATAGACTAGCTTTGGAGTCTAATGAAGAGATATACACATTTCTTTAAAATATTCTATTGAACACATAAAATTACTTTAGAGGGCTCTCAAATATAATAGTAGTTGTCCAGAAAATAAATTTGCTGGTTCTTCATGTGTGTGCATGCACATGTGTGTTCAGAGTCAGTTGTTCATTGGTTATGCCATTATAGACATGGGGGGAGTTGTTGGGGCTGTTTCCAACTATTACCAGAGGCTGGTCAAACTACCATTTAGTGAATAGTTAAAATGGTGTTCCTGAGGGCTTATGAATTCACATACTTTTGTTAATTGTTTTGCTATTAATAAAGCAAAAGAGGTTGGCAAGATTGTATTTATATGAAACAAAAGGTATAAAACGGCTCTGCTTAGAGTTCTAGGGGCAAGAAGGTGACCCAGTATGTGTGGTCACTTAATCAAAGAACAGCTTCTAATCCAAAAGAAACAGGCCATGGTAGAATTCTACACCAGCTCCCAGTGCTACTACAGGAAGCCTTGGAACCTAATTGCTTCCCCTCAGACAGTTCTAGACCCTCTTGTTAGGCATCTCCACGGCAGGTTCCTAAAGGAATAGCTGATTATGACAAGAAAATGGGTATTGATGAGAGTCAGGGACAGACAGTTGATAGCTGTGAGTCAGAGCTTTCTGGCAACAGGACTCAGAATGAAAACTATCCCTATTGTTCCAGAGTTGATCCTGTGTGCCTTGGTCCCCACTTGGAAATTAATGGGCTGGTGAGACTATTTAGAATGAGATGGAAAAGATAGTATAGGAGGAAAGATTGGGAAGAAGGAAATCAGGAAATAATAGAGCATAGAAATGATAAAGCTTGTTTCTTTGGTTTGGTTTTTTACTACCTCAAAAATAACGTCATTTTGAAACGCTCTTTCTGAATTGAAAGAAATATAGTTAGGATCCAGAGAGTATAAAACGGAAGACCAGACATTTGAATTCCATTCTAGGATTGAATTTCATGATAATGCTATGACAGGTGTCAAAAGATCTCGGCTCATCCTGGCTTTCCCTTTACCCTGGTTGTCTTCTGTCTTTTCTTGGCCTTTCTACTGGACTATCCAGTTCTGTGCAGAGATAATGCATTTCAGAATGACTGCTGAAACGTGTGAGTAGAAGGAGTAACATTGGGGCTCAAAAAAAGTAAGGTGGGGGCTGGATAGATTGTCACTTGAATTGACTAGAATTTATCTCTAAATTAATTCCAGGTTTATGTTGCTGGCTCTTGAGGGTATCTGGCAAACATTTCTATTCCTATTTTGGACAACTGAAAGTTTGGGATATTGATTGTGTTCTGTATATATTGGTTAAAAAGCTGTTTATGGTTATGACCGTTTATAGGTCATTAGGTTAGAACCAGATGTTAATGGGCTTTGACTACACTCTTGAATATCCAGTCTTCTAATTGCTGATCTCTATCCAGGTGGAAAAAAACAGTTTAAAATTTAGGTTCAACTGATACATGTGAGAGTTTTAAAGAAAAGTTTAAGGTCACAGTCTTTGATAGTAGTTTGAAGTTTAGGGATCGAGGGAAATTGTAGCCTCTTTGAGCAGAGCCTGTGCCAGCCTGTCATCCAGTCTAGAAGTCTTTGCTCCTTTGTTTGTCCTCTGCCATGTTCCTACTTGCCTTAATTTTCTTCGCAGCATCTCTGAGGCGGCTTAGCCAAGTGTGACCCTCAAGGCAGGCTTGGGTGCTCTTGTAAGAGTGTAAAAGCAATCCCTAAACATCTGTAAGTGGTGTTTACGTTTTACATCCCTGATTTATCTGATCAAATGTTAAGGAGAAAATTACATATTATGACTGGCTTAACAGCCTAAAACCAGAAGGGAAAAAAATATTGAAAGAGATACTTAAAATATCATTTGAGCGGTATCTTCTGCACACAAGGCAGTAGGTGGGATCAAGGGAGATGGTGTAGATACTCTTACCGCCGAACTCTTGATTTGGCTGATGGGTATCACGATTTTAACCTTACCTAAATGTAGTAGTTGGAGTGTTAATTTTATTTGGCTGCTATGTGTGTGAGACATCTTGTCTGAGAGATTTTAATTGTACCATTGAGTAAAACTAAAACTGTGAATTGTGATGCACTGATATTACAGCATAAGAACAAGGTTTAGTTTTATATGGTTTCTTGTTTAGAGTTATTAACTATATGGAGGAATAAATGTCTTTTAAATATTTTAAAACATTACAAAACCCACAATGTAAAGTTGCCACGAGGCAGCCAAAAATAATACATATGGCATTCAGGAGAGCAGTTGCTAATTGGCTGCTGCCTGAGAAAATGGTACACTTGGCGTCTCCTTAACACTGTGGGTTTGGCAGAGAGCCAAATTTGGGGTCAGGTTGTTGTGAATGAAGCTGCATGTGGTTAGGGAGGAGTTAAAATGATTCATGTCTTAGAAGCTGTAGCACATCGAGTAGCATGCATGGGCCTAAGCGTGTTAGTCTTCATCTCCCCGGCCTCCTACCACTCGCAACGTGCTCATCCTTACCAGAACGTCCAGCACTGCCTTTGTCGTTCCTGTTGTGTGTTCCTATGGGAGTAAATCATTACTTTTGGAATATTCTAGTAGTTGGTTTTAAGCATGTGCCTGAAATTTTCTTTTGTTGCAGAAGGACTCTGGAGAGGAGGTAGAAGTTGAGGAATTCTATGTGAAATACAAAAACTTGTAAGTAAACAGTGATTTTTTTTTTTCTTTTAATCGGGCTCCCCGATTAAATCCTAAATAAGGATTTAAAAAGTAATTGGAAAAATGAAAAAATAAGTGGGAATTGGGAAATATTGGTATGGTTTATTTAGTGCTTTGGAGGCCATTGCCTGCTAACTTATTTGCCTTTGCTATTTCATGAATTTAATTTTCCTGGAAAATGAGTAATTGGTATAAAAGTTGACTAGCTTTCATGTATAACCAAGAAATTCTTTTTAGAAGGAATAAAACCTCATACAATAATAGAAAAGTGAGTAAAGTAGTATTTGCCTGTCCTCTGAGAGTGAAGTTTACTCTGTGAGGCCTCTCTCCCACCTCCGCTTAGGATGAGATCTCTACTATCAGGCGAGGCTCTAGAAAACCGTGACATCATTTGCATTTTGAAATGCGCTCAGCTGTGATTTTGTCTGTTTTTGATTAGTAAATTTGAATTGCATAACTTTTAGAAAACTGAATTGAAGAACACAGTGAGTTATTGTTCTTTATTATAGATGTAGGACCAGACACATTTTGACAAGGCAGCGTAGTTGTGAGGATCAGTAGTCATCCCGCTATCCCGCTAAAGAAGTTTGCGGCCTTTTTCTAGTCTAAGCAACAATCACAGAACAAGGACAGAAATCTTCATGGATGATGTAAAAATTAAATTAAAAATGTTCAAGGCAAGGAGCTCAAGTACATCATATTTAATAGGTTCTAGAGCTTAAAGAGAGGCTTTTGGGCGTTGCTGTCAAAACAGCCTAAGAAAATTTACCCTACTCTTAGAAGATGAAAGCATCAGGCCCATGGTTTCTATCATTGTCCTTTGTTGCAACTGGCACTGTGTTAATAAACTAATATAGTTGTTAAGTTTTGTGAGCAAGACCCTTACCAAGTGAAAAGACGAAAAAGTCTCTTGTCAGTGTTACTGTGGGAGTTCAGTGAAATACAGAATACAGTGATAAAGAATGCTTGGTCTGTATTAGGTGGGTGTTGTCATCATTTTGTACTTAGAGCACGATGAGTTGTACACATGTGGAAATTATATGTATGACATGATTTCATATATAGTCATTTGAGGGAAGTGTCAGGATCGGTGAGGAGGAGATAACTAAGTAAGCCAGAGAGAGTTCTCTGGTCGATTTATCAAATCAAACATAGAGCAAAGAAGTTTTAAGTATCGATTCCCACAAAATGGCACCATTAGGTAGGCATCCATCCAAATCAGCATGTGGAAGTGGGGCTTGAGGTGCTTGGTTCATTCGTGACTAGGTACCGCTGCCAGGCCAGGGGAGACCAGTCATCCTTCGTCGGTCATGTGAGATGAGGCAAACATGGTTCTAAAAAAGCTTTTCTGAGTTCTAAGGGGAATTAAAATTTTCATAAAATTAGCAGTTTCTGTTAACCTTTTATTTTGACATAATTTCAGATTTACAGAAAAATTGCAAAATGGTATAAAGAATTCCTGTTGTCCTTTTTGTAATTAAAAAAGTATCTCCTGGAAAGATATTTTTGAGACTGTTACGTGATAAAGTTGCTAAGTGAGGATTTACTTATTCCATCATCCATTCTAAATGTATTAGTTGGGTTTCCGCCATAAGGGAGAATTTGACCTAAATTTGCTTCTTTGTGGCTGTGTAGACTTGCAGAGTCCTATTTTATTCAATGGGCCATAATTCTTTATTATCATATCAGTATTTACTTTGCTCACATTATCCCAGATTTGGCCAGTGGGAGCCCCTTCAGGTTGGATCCTGTCTCCCTTTGCTTTGTCCCCATGCTTCTTTGAGCACTTCCTTACTTTCTGACACCAGAGGATAGTCCAGACTCATCTTGTAATTTCCCTGTTTAAGTCCTGGAATAGGTTATTTCTCCAAAGAGCCTTGGTTGTTTCTACTGGAGAATGGCATTTAGAAACCACGAGTTGAGTACTAGGTGTGCTCATTGCTGCAGGGGAGTTAGCGCTTCTGGGGCCTCTCAGTGGAGAGGGCTAGGTGGGCCCCCTGCACATGTCTGTGCATGTGCATGCACGTGTGTGTGATACATGTTACATGTACACACGTTTATTACACATACACACATACCTCTGTGTACCTACCTATCTACTTAACTAACAGCGATGAGGATCAGTGCCTTTATAGCAGTAGTTTTGGTTTTATTTCAACAGCACCACAGGGCTCATTCAGTCCTTTCTCCTTCCAATAACAATGACTCCCTTCTTCAACCATGAGAAACCTAGCTCTTATTATCCCAGTATGTTTGCTTATTTGTCCTAGAATATACAGGAAGTGTTTTCCAATTTACTAGATCATATTTTTGTGGAAAAGAAGCCTACCAACTATAAAGTTCATTCAGTGTTCAGAATTTTTTGTATTTAGCCAAAGGGTTTTTAGAAGCTAAATACTTGGTTCAGAATTGTCTTGGGTTCATTCTTCTCTTCCCCCGCCCCCCTTTCAGGGTGGTTATGTTATTTATTTGATAATTCAGTTTGGTCTTTAGTTCCTGTCTGTATTTATATTCCATTTTAGCACCCCACCATTCTCTCTCTCTTTTTTTAAGATTTTATATGTTTATCTGAGAGAGAGAACATGAGCAGTGGGGTGAGGCAGAGTGAGAGGGAGAAGCAGACTCCCCGCTGAGCAGGGAGCCCGACGTGGGGCTCTAGGACCCTGAGATCATGACCTGAGCAGAAGTCAGACCCTTAACCGAGTGAGCCACCCAGGGGCCTCAACTACCCACCATGCTCGGTGACCTCATTTATTTTCTTCTTTCCAAGTTCATGAAAAGCACGTCCTTTTCCCTTCCCTTCCACCCCATTCCTACTTACCTTGTTGCTAATCCCAGATTTATCCTTTCTGTAATTTTTGGCAAGAACAGGCAGATAACATACATATGTGTATATATATGTGTGTGTGAGTGTGTGTGTAAATATATATACATAAAAATATTTTATATACATAAGATATATATTATTTTCCTCTTCTTTCTTACATATAAAATAGCAACTATCAGTACACATTTGCACTTTGCTTTTTAATAATACTGTATTTGGAAGTTAATATCAATCCTTAAGTCTTCTTTGTTCTTTGTTACTGCTGTGTGGTACTCCACTGCATGGCTGTATCATTGCTCATCCAACCAGTCTCTTATGTATGTGGGCATGTAGATGGCTTCTGATATTTTATAGCTACAGAGAGTGCTACAGTATAATTCTCATGCCTATATATTTTCGAATTATTGGAGGCACAATGTGAGGGTGACTTCCTAGGAGTGGGATTGCTGTATTCAAAGGTGAACATGTATGTAGTTCTGTTAGGTACTGCCTCATTCCCTTCCATAAGGGGATGGCCCTTTGCATTCCTACCAACAGTGTTAGAGACCACCTCTTTCCCTACAACCTTTCCAACATAGTATGGTGGTTTCATTTTTTGTGAGAAATTGTATTTCGCTTTAGTTTTTTTTTTATTTGTGAATGAGAACATCTTTTCATAAATTTAATGACCATTTTTATATTTTCTTTTGTCAGTTGTGTGTTCATGTCTTCTGCCCATTTTTCTGTTGTGCTTTAGTCCTTTTTCTTATATGTTGCAACTATGCTTTCCCAGTTTCAGTTGTCCTTTGACTTTATATTTTTATTGCACTGTAAATTAAAGAAATTTTTATGTTGTTAGATTTATTAATCTCTTCTCTTGTTGGATATGGCTTTTGAGCCATAGCTAGAAAGCTTTTCCCTACCCCCAGGTTAAAGAGGAATTTGCCATGTTTTCCTCTAGTACCTGCATGGTCTCATTTTCTGTATACAGATGCTTAATCCACTTAATGTTTATTCTTCAGTATGGTATAAAACACAATAATATTTGCTTGTTCTGATTTTATACCTTTCCAAATATTGTTGTTCTAGCACCATTATTTACAAAGTCCATCTTTGTCCCAGTGATTTGAGATGTAACCCTTATCATGTACTAAATTTATGTATTCATTTGGAAATATATTTGTACCTTTTTTTTTTTTTTTTTTTTTGAGAGAGAGAGAGAGAGAGCGAGAGAGAGCAGGGGAGGGCCAGAGGGGGAGAGAGAACCTGCACTGGGCTCGATCTCATGACCCTGAGATCCTGACCTAAGCCAAAATCAAGTGTCGGGTGCTCCACCCAGGTGCCTCTGTACCATATTTTAATCCTTTGGTCTGCCTGTCTATTCATGAGCCAGTAGCACACTGTTCTACTTATAAAGGCTTTATAGTGTATTTTAATATCTGGTATATCTAGTTTCCCTAACAACTTTTCCTTTTTAGTGTTTTCCTGGATGTTCTTGCATGTTTATTTTATATATAAGTCAATATTAACTTGTCCAGCACCATAAAAATGCTTGTTTATATTTTATTTATATGTATATTGTGTTACATTTACAAATTTATGATTTATGACATTGGATCATGCTATCTAAAAATAAGGATGTCTTTCTAGTTGGTCCAGCTCTGTTTTTGTGTCTTTTAGAAGGGTTTTAAATATTTCCTTATAGAAATTTCACACTTTTTTTTTTGTTAAATTTATTGCTAAGCATTTAATCTTGTTGATAATGTAAAAGAGGTTTTCTCTACTGTTGTATCTTCTGACTGGTTATTGTTTGTGTAAATGGAAGCTATTGACTTCTGTATGTTAATTTTATATCCTGCTGTATTGCTAAATTATTTTATTATTTGAATTAGTAGTTTTCTAATTGCCTCTCCGGGGTTTTCCAGTTATGCAATCATATCATTTGCAAATAGAGATAGTTTTGCTTCTTACTTTCCAATTATTGCTTCCCTTGTTGTTTTCTCTTGTCTAATAGCATTGGCTAATGCCTCAAGTACAATATTGAATAATAGTGGAGGCAGTGGCAGGTGCCTGGGTGGCTCATTCGTTAGGCGTCTGCCTTCGGCTCAGGTCATGATGCCAGGGTCCTGGGATCGAGCCCCGCATCGGGCTCCCTGCTCAGCGGGAAGCCTGCTTCTCCCTCTCCCACTCCCCCTGCTTGTGTTCCTGCTCTCACTCTCTCTCTCTCTCTCTCTCTGTCAGATAAATAAAATCTTAAAAAAAAAAAAATAGTGGAGGCAGTGGGCATCCTTGCCTTCTTTCTGATCTTAGTGGAAGAGTCCGTGGTTTTTCTCCATTTAGGAAAGCAGAGTCAGTATCCAAAAATTCCAGCCCGGTTTTCAAGAGGAAGAGTGAGACTGATGCCTGTGTCCTTTTCACAGTCACCCTGGTGGTGCTTTAAAGTCATGTGTGCCACAGCAAAGACAGAGTGTTGACTTGCACCCACGCCTTTTTCTATCCAATAAGTAGACTAGACTAGGTTATTTTTTATAATATCTGTTTCTTGATAATATGCAGTAACAGTATTGCATATTACTTATTGGAAATTGGGAAAGTACTTGAAAGTAGGAAAGAAAATACTTGCAGTCTTACCACCCAGAAAATATCATTATTCACGTATGGATGCATTTCCACCTAGTCTCTTTTCTCTGTGTGCCTGTGTGTACAGGGTTTATATCAATCCCTTTCCTATCGAGGCATACGTATTTAAAGTCCTTGTCTCCGTCAGTCAATTGTAGAAGGACTAAATCAGTCCTACCTTTTGCATATTAGACTTTACATAAATATAAATGATATGACACTTAATATCATAAGCCTTTCCCATGTCATTAATCATTTTTGACAGATTTTAGAATGGCTGCATAATTTCTAAGAGTAGTAGTACCTTGATTTTGAAATAGGTACATATTCAGGCACCTCATTTCTTTTTAATGTCATCACCAGAAGGAGAAATAAGAGACAGTCCAGGCTATCTGGGACAGGGAGAAAATGATGGTACAAAAGAGTATTGAAATAGCAAGCCAAAGAATGTCAGAGGTACCGTAAAATATTAACTATATACCTGTGAGTCTCAGGGAAGTAAAAGGGAGGATGAGAGTGTTCAACTTGAGGTTAGAGAGAACACCTGTGCTCGGAACCGGCATGGCGAATCTGAAGAGGAGGGGACTGGCTCAGTGCGAGGACCAGGTAGACAGTAGAGAGCGGCAAGGTCACGGGGGTCCAAGAGACATCATTTCAGAGCTCCTGGACGAATGAGGCTGGCAAGGCAGAAACTGACCAGGGGTTCGTTGGGGCATGGGTGTTCAGAGAGCAGGGGAGGGTTCTTTTCTCTCAGATTGCTCTAGAAGGACTAAGTTATGTTTACCTTTGTTGTTTTAAATCTGAATTCTCTTAACTTGATGAAAACCTTTTATTTCTCAATTAATGATAAAAGGCTCAAAATGTAAATTCATAATTAAGGCCACCCTGTAGTGCTAATTGTTTTTTATTGAAGTGTAATCCATTCACTTATGAAAACAGCTTGTTGGTAGGTCCTTTTCTTTTTTTAATGGGATATAAATAGGAGAGCTGGAGGCTCAGGACGGAAGACAAATTTCAGGCACAATTATTGATTTTTTTTTCTTATTCTCAAACATGAATAATTGTATTGAATGTTGATCAGCAGCCTCTATTAGTAGGTAAACCGCTTATTTCGTTCATTATTTAGTTGATTTTTTGGGAATAATAAAAGATTATTTTCTACATGTTTTTCAAGTATATTATTTTATTCTTTTAGCTCTTATCTTCATTGTCAATGGGCATCTGTAGAAGATCTGGAAAAAGATAAGAGAATTCAGCAAAAGATCAAACGATTTAAGGCAAAGCAGGGCCAGAACAAATTCCTTTCAGAGGTATGAAATACCCAGTTAATTTTCTTAAGTAGTAACCTTATTAAAGTGTTCTGAATTTTGAATTTTAGTTTAGCAAATTACTAAGAAAAACTAGTTTCCCTCATTTGGTGCTGTTACTTGCATATTGGTAACTGGTTATTGCTAAAAAAAAATTTGTAAACAGGAAATTTCTCATTCTTCCTGTTACTTAGCCTAGAAGATACTGGTCCTTATGCTATTATATGGAAATATGATGGTATCATTAAAATCTTGTAATGAAAGTACAGTTAGCGGACGGTGAAAAAAGTCAGTTTATAAAAGTTCTGTTAAGATTTAGTGAGGTTAAAGACTCTACAGTAAGTATTAAGTACAGTTTCTAGAATATAAGTTACCTCTATTAAGGAAAGAATGTGGTGGATTTCTTTTGTTCAAGTTAATGCCCGATTACAGAGTTTACTAAGCTCATTTTTACAAATGATGTGCTGTAGTATAGAAGTTGGTATAATGTCTTTGCCTGTCTCCCTTTATTCTAAGTTATCAATGATAGAAAGGTAACCATACCTAGGGCGGGGAAGGAAATCTGTATTTTTTGAAAGAAGTGCCAAGTTCCCCTCCCGGGTACTCGATTGCATTAAAAAATGCTTTTGCAGACTGCTTACTGGGGTCTCTGGACTTTTGCTCACCAATTTGGTTTCACTTACAGCCTCAAGAAAATAAAAGAGAAACCTTCACATTGAAAGATTAAACTTGCTGATTTATTAGTTTTCCTTTCCATAAAGGACTTAACAGAATGTAAACTGCAAAGAAGTGTGAAATTTGATGCAAATAATAACTGTTTAACAACCTATTTCACGCCCCCTCCCCTTTTTGGACATGGGGTGGGGTGGGGACGGAAGAGTGTTCAGTATTTTTATGTCATAAAATCCTTATAATCTCAGGTGACAAGTCTGTGTTCTTCTGGAATCTGATTTCCATGCTCCCAACAGGCAGATTGTAAAGTTTGAATTAGATGGGTGATTGGGTGGTGGTAGTTTTATTGGACATATGTCTGCGTCACCCCCTTCCCTGATCTGAGGGTTCAGCTTCTTTGCAGTGCAGTAATTAACACTGAGGGGAATGAAATTACTCACATGTGACTCACTCACCTCTCGGAGAATATTTAAGTGATTTTTTTTTTTTTTTGATAGGTCAGTTCCTAAGAAATACCATAAAATCCTATTTTTTTATGCCCTTCTTAATGAAACTGAAGTTAAATGTTGGTGACATTAGGCAAGTTGACATCATTAGCTTTCTTTTAGAAAGAGACACCATGTGTTCCGGTGACCCATTCTCCATGGATCGGTGGAGGGAGAAGGCAAGAGTGCAGTGGCAGCACCCCCGCCCCCATCCTCAAGTCCTGGTTCTGTTCGTGAAATTTATTTGGACTCTGTTTGCTGGTGTCAGATGCAATTTAGGGCTTTGTGCCTCGCCCTAGTTATGTAGCCTTATCTATTTGGGTCTACCTATATGAATATCCTGTACCACAATTGAAATACATTATCTTGAGTGGTAACTTGGCAACTAGAAATCTTAAGTTTTGTCCCAAGTGGAGGTAGCGGAAACTTTAGTCCAAAAAGATGATCTGAGGGCAAGCACAAAAGGATAGCAACTCCCTTCCTCTCTCTTTTATACACAGACACACACACAGACACACAGACACACAGACACACACACACACACACACACACACACACACAGACACACACACACACCCTGTTCCATAGACAGTCCTGGTTTCAGGTGTTCCACAGTTCTGCTACTTTGGGGTTTTTAATTATGACTGCTTTTGCATTCTTTGTTTCACCTTAGGCGCACTTAGAAGTCTGCTGCAACTAAAATCTTTGTTTAAATTGGAAATTGCATCACATGCATGATGGTGCAGATTACTCACTAGAAGGATGGAAATGTTTAAGAGTAAGGTTAAGGATTTTAATTCATCAGTGAAAGCTGCCATTTAAGAACAAGGGGTCTTAAAAGGAGCTTTTGTCATCAAAACCTAGTTTATGGAAAGTTTTCAGTGTTCATGCTGTATATGAATAATGCATACATATTGTGTACCTAAACCTAGAAGCTTTTGACAAAGCCAGTGCATTAATACATTAACATTTTAAATGAACTGAATGTTTCAATGAGTTTTTTGCCTTACTAATCAACGCTGAGGCATTTGGAACACATCTTTGTATTTCTGATTTTTTTTTCATAATTCAGAGTTAAAAGGACCCAAACCAGACGTTTTAAATGGACACAGTAGCCCAGAGAATGTTTGCTATCCTTGAGCCAACTGTAACCAAACAGCTTATCTTTTCAGCCTGCAATTTAGAGAATATGAACGGTGTCTAAGTGACTTCTAATATGTCTTGCAAAAGCCTTTTAATGCAGTTATGTTACTGATAAATTCATCTCGATGAACACATAAGAATGTGTCTTCTGTTTTCTAACTTGCCTGACTCTGAATTCTTTAAAGTATGGCATAGTCTGTAATTTCTCTTTGAGCCATCTTCTGTTACTCTATTCTCTTACAGGAGATAACTTTGCAAGCAAGTTAGTATTACTTTACTTTTGTAAAGATTGTTACTACGTTGGCTAAATAACCCAATTATTTAAGCCTCATTTCTTCATCCTTACTATTTTTAGTCAGCTGCTCTATATTCAATACAAATAAATCATTAGAATGCTTAGATTAACGATAAGACCATATTCAAATGAGGTACTTATATTGATTAGTGAAGACGACCAGACACCCTAAACTATTCACACTAAAATAGGAAATTCACTGGTTTCATTGTTTTTGTCTTCGGAATAGCATTGTGTAAGTGATGCTATAAGGCCTGAGACAACTCCAGTAGTTATGAGATAGCACTTACTGTGCATGGCTCTGAGTCTTTACTGCAAGCTGTAGTTTCGAGAATACTAAATGCATTGCATGCCATAAGCCTTTTGGATTGCTCATTAGTGAATTGTAATTTCACACTTCATTTAAAATATTCCTAAACATTCTCTCACAGTAAAAAGGTTTCACACAGTAATTAAAATACCCAGTTAACAAAGTCTGAGAAGTCTGATTTCCTCATGGGGAATGATTTTGCTAAATTGTAGCATTTCAATTAATATAATAGAATTTGCCAAATATAAATTTTATTTTGCTGTGACCCAAGATATTATTGCCTGGTGAAAAGTGAAATAACGTTTACTCTTAGGAATTAAATAAACATTTTAACTTTGTTTTCCTTTGGTGCAGATTGAAGATGAGCTTTTTAATCCAGATTATGTGGAGGTTGACCGGATAATGGACTTTGCACGTAGCACAGATGAACGGGGAGAGGTAACAGAAGATCATTTGTATTATGGGGCAGTGACTCAGACGGTTTAAGTGTGTTTACGGAGAATGATTATGGAATCCTAGATCTGGTCCTGGTCAGAGCCCTGGATGATGACACAACTGGTCTAAATTTAACTGAAGCTTTTGACTGACTATTAGTTTTATGACCTAATAAGAGCACTCAGTGTGTTCTTTGTTAAGTGTGCGAACTTTTTAAAAGAAATCAATTTTCAATATGGAACAAATACATTGGCATTTTACACGATTTCAGAATATGATCAATAAAGAAGAATGCAATACACTTTGGTATAAACCCAGTATGAAGCACAAATTTCCCATACATAAATAAGAGTGCTCTTGTAGCAGAATGGAATTTAATGTTACTTAACATTGTATATCCTTAGTGAAGTTGATGAACCTCATTTAATGTAGTGCCCAGAGGACAATGTAAAATAATTCTCTTTATGAGATCTTGGCATTTCTCAGGTTGCTTTGCAGAACTCTGTGAGGTTGTAAAGGACGGTTGATTAGGGCAGTAAGAGTGAAGACAAGTCTAGTGCCTTCCTGAGCATATTGTCTGAGGAATGATGTATGCACCCACCATGAGTTCTGTCATTCCTGGCTTCTTTTTGTAAATTAAATTTTATATAAAATGTTTAGATCTTGCTTATCTAGTGAGAGTCTGCAATGAACTCCCATTTTTCCCCCCCAAACTCTGTATCCTGAAGTCCATGATGTTTCAAGGACTGTGTCTGTAATGTGATGTTTACTTTTCTAGCTTTACTTAACTGTACTTAAAAGAAAATTGTTTTATTGCATATTTATGTAGCACAGTGAATGTTTTTAACATCACAGCCAGGTGTACCTTAGTCTTGAAGTGAAGGTTGACCACCCAAGTATTTTCTAGAAGAAAGACAAAGGAAATCCTGTTGATCTGCATTACCCAATATATTTTGTTCTCCAGTCTATGAAAGCTCAAACACTTTATTTTTTATTTATTTTTTTAAAGTTTTAATTAAGTAATCTCTGCACCCAATGTGGGGCACAAATTTACGACCTCGAGATTAAGGGTCGCACGCTCTTCTGACTGAGCCAGCCAGGTGCCCCTCAAACGCTTTATTTTAAAGGGATTGGATACAAACAGTACCTCTCTCTTTAAGAAAAAGGCAGAGATACTAATAAATTCAAGCTTGTTTCTCATTCTTTAAGAAACTAGCCAATAATGTAAATATACTATGATGATTTACCATACAAGTCTGAATCAGACACCCGTTAAATGATTTGCACAGGTAAGAATAAGGCTTAAATTTATCTGTGTTATTTACAGGCTATTTCTTTATATTTTTTGGCTTGAACATAGCAGTGAATTCGATAAAAATTAGCTTGTTCTGATGATACCCAGTAATATTACTTCTAGTTTATGCTTGATACTATTAACTAGAGATGACTGTGTAATGGTTGTAGTTTTAAATAAACTTCTACCAACTCATTCTTACTGTCGCTGGGGTAGTGTCTATCAATAAGTAATGTGTGTGTGTGTGTGTGTGTGTGTGTTTGTGTGTGTGTATTTCGATCAAATGAATCCAATTCTAATTTATTTAAACCTGGCCCAGCCTGTGACTCACTATCTGGTGAAGTGGTGCTCCCTGCCTTACGAAGACAGCACGTGGGAGCTAAGGCAGGACATAGATCAAGCGAAGATCGAAGAGTTTGAGAAACTAATGTCCAGGGAGCCAGAAACAGAGCGTGTGGTAAGACTTGGCTAATGGTGAAGGATTTAATTTGAAAATAGCATAGTGGTGTGGTCTTGGAGAAACCACTAATGGGATTTACTATATTTGAAACAGGAGCGACCTCCTGCTGATGATTGGAAGAAATCGGAGAGTTCCAGGGAGTACAAAAACAATAACAAACTCAGGGAATACCAGTTGGAGGGAGTAAACTGGCTACTTTTCAATTGGTACAACATGTATGTAAAAAGCATGTTTTTCTTCACTTTTAAGAAGGCCTATAGCTGTTTTCCTTTGTAGTCATTGAAAATATTAATCAGATAATGTCACACTTTAATCTCTAATAAGAATTATGAAAAACAGCCAGGATTGGAAGTATGCTTAATATTTATCCAACAAACATTAATACAGAGATATTGATAGACATATGTAGAAATAATTTTTATGCCTTAGAGGATTTTGTTTGAAAATGTATTTTGTTGAACTAAGAGAACATTTGAGGTATGCATTTGTGATTATAATAGTATATGTTTTATGAAAAGAAAGCAGTGTCTAATATCTGTACTTATTAAACTTTTTGTGTTTTATTTCCTTCCCAAAGGCGAAACTGCATTTTAGCAGATGAAATGGGTTTGGGAAAAACTATCCAGTCCATTACATTTCTCTATGAGATATATTTGAAAGGAATCCATGGCCCTTTTTTAGTAATTGCCCCATTGTCCACAATCCCCAACTGGGAAAGGGAGTTCCGTACCTGGACAGAGTTGAATGTGGTTGTGTATCATGGGAGTCAAGCTAGTCGTCGGACCATTCAGTTGTATGAAATGTACTTCAAAGATCCCCAGGTAAAACGTCACAAGTGGTATTCTTTATGCCTATTATGTATGTTTTAAGGTCCTGGATATTAAAATGGCCTCAGACATTTTGGGGGAAGGTCTAGATTTTACAAAATTGAGAAATTTGCTTTAGATTTCTTACCCAATTGTGTTATATTTTTGCATCTTATAAATACAGCTAATTTTTACAGCTTTGGTGGTTCTGATTATCCGATAAGAATAAATGAAATATTTTCACCTTGGGTGACTGTGGAAAATCATTTAATGTTTTGATATGCTAATTGGTTTTATTTTGCAAGCCTAAGAAAAAGCTAAACAGAAAATGGTGTTATTAAATGTAAGTGGAAGTAAAAGTTATTAGGCATTCCATGTTGAGTGAAATACACCCAAAGGGAAGAACTTCTGCTCTGACTCTTAGTAGCACTTGGTATAATTTTTTTACTTACGCTTCTTACCTGTATACAGTTATTCTGTGATACTGACAGTGAAGCATTATAAATGACAAGAATAGTATCTGCTAAAATAGATTTAAGCTGATAGGTGGTAAGGAGAAGTCTTATTACTGGAAATAGGACAGAGTTTTGTTTTATAGGTTTGCTTTTAACTATAAAATCTGCAATTAAATACTTCAAGGAGAAAAATATTGAAATCTGTTTTGGTGTTTATCTCTAGATTTGAGAGATGGTTATAAGTTCTACCCTAAGGGAATGGGTTTTTTCATTTAGCACTTTAATAGTAAAAAATAAGTTAACAAAGGTAAAAAAAAAAAAAAGTAAATGTTTTAAACAGTAAAAAAGTTTTTAAAAGCTACCTTAGTACATAATCCCCTAGGCTTTTCACCTTTTTGGGATCTGTAGGATGTAACTAGGATGACTACACTTAGTGGCACTTTACTACATATGATCTGTAGGGAAATTGGATAGGAAATTTTACTAACGATTTTCAGATTTCTTTAAAAGGGAAAAGGGTTTAAAGCTTCCCTGCAAAACACCTGGAAAACAAAATACAAGTGTTACCTAAAATAAAGATGTCCCCAAAAGATAAATATATCTGTTTTATGCTATTTATTAATCAAAGTTAATGTCATCTCTAATGTTAAATAATAATTTAGAACTGTTCTCATAGGGTCGAGTGATAAAAGGGTCCTATAAGTTTCATGCCATCATCACTACATTTGAGATGATTTTGACGGATTGTCCTGAGCTGCGGAATATTCCATGGCGCTGTGTAGTCATTGATGAAGCCCACAGGCTGAAGAATAGGAACTGCAAGCTGCTGGAGGGGCTCAAGATGATGGACTTGGTCAGTGATCATATTGATGATTCCATTGAACCTGAACAGAATCGTTACTGACTGTGTTCCCGCTGCTCTGAATGTGACTGATACCTGTGTAGTGTGTTTTTAAAGCCTGTCAAATAAGGTGATAGGTCCTCCTGAGCTTTTAGTTACTCAAAAGTTGCTGCCCTTCTCGATCCTCATATCATTGGCTGGTTTCTTTGCATGATTGTATTACAGTAAGGTATAGTTAGGATATTTTCACTGAAATGAGTTTCAAATATTTGCTTTTCCCTTTTGTTTATAAATACTGCCATTTCATAACCTGGTGGGCCAGGCTTTGTCCCAGTGATGATAATGAAGTTATATTCCAGGGCTCAATGGTTTTGGCACATTGGATCCAGTAGGACTTGTAGATGCAAGTTCTTTGTATGGGTTAATACCTGGAATTGGTCACGTTCATACAGACACTTAGAAGTTTGGGGCATTACAAGACCTTGAATTTGATCTGGAGTTTGACACCACACTTACCCCATACTCTCCCTGCTTCCTAAGAGGTGGTCAGGTTTTTCTGGTTAGATTTTTCTAGATTGTTTTCAGTAGGAGTGTTACGGGATGATGTAGAGGTGGTAGGATTTGATTGATTTTTCTGTTCCATGCTTCTGTGTGTTTGGTTTCCTAGCAGAAATTATTACATGACTTCAGTCATCCTCAGACTTCTTTGTTCTCTGTAGTTTGCAAGGTGGGTTTTGATCACTTGTTTTCATTTTTAATGTACATTTTAAAAGCAATGTTACTGTCATTCAGTAACATTGGATGTTTTGCTGAGTTTCTAAAAAGTGCAAAAGATTTTTAAAATCTCTTTGATGTTGACTTCAGTAGATTAATTTGATTTCTTGTTAATTGAGAGTTTGAGACGGGGAGAACATTCTATACGTTCATGGCTATAAATTTTGTTAATGAAGACTGGGACTACCAAAAGGAACACTTAAAAGCTTTTTGTTGCAGCTGGTTCTTTGAAGCAGTTTCTTTTATTCATTAGCCAGTGATTCTTTTAATTAAAAACAAACAAAATTTAGCTTTGTTTAAAGGGAAAAAGTCTGACTGAATTATTCTATTAAGGATGGGAAATCCCATCCTAAGACCTTTCTCAAATTAGTTTATATTATTTGGTGACCAATCCACAAAAGAAAGGAGAACACTTAGAAACAGTGACCAGCCGTGAAGACATAGGCGAGCACGTGGAAAAGAGAAACTCTGAGACTGTATTTGGTCTCTCCAGGCAGCACTTGGGCATTACATTTGCAGGCAAATGTGAGTGTTCATGAAATACCTAACTCCATCTTCCAAGTAGGGACCCATCTTCACAGTGGTCCACAGAAAAGACAGAGTACCATTTTCTGAAGGCTTAAATAGCCACCTGAGTTTATCTAAGTTGTTTCCTATTATTAGTTTATGTGCTCCCACGCAGTCGATTCTTACTGCAAAACAGTCCTCCATTGGTGCGTACAGTTGGGTTAAATGCTGTCAACATCGTATAGTCTAATTGTTATCGGGAGACTTGAAACAGTTTTCTGTTGTTTGTAGTAACAGTTCATTAATGGATTATAATCTCTTATCCAGATAATTTTTGTGTTACATACTTCAGTGTTCCCTAACCTTTTTTCACATAATGGCACATCTAGAAGGTGGTAATGTTCTGTGTGTACCATTACAGCATGTCGTGATGGGGCAAGCTGAGAATGCTGCCCACTGCCACAGGTGACCAGCCCTGGAATCTGACTCTCAGCCCTTGCTGGCTGCTCAAGGACTTGCATACCTGTAACTCATTCTTGGCTCATCCACTGGGAATCTCTGATAAGCACATGAACAAAATAATTGTTTTTTGACAATCAAGAATTTTTCTTAGAATGATGTTTTCAAGATGGAACACAGTACTGTTGTTTAGAATTAGAATGCAATTGTATTTGTCTAGTTCTGAACAACTCCTTGGTTGACCTTTAAATCCTTACTTACAGTAAACACCATGAGAACTTATACACTGGCCATTTTTTATTCTTTTCTGGAATAAGTCACGGTGAAAATAAGAGTTTATCCGGCTACAGAGCAGGTCAAAGGGAACTGCTGTTTCTTCAACTAGACTCAGTTAGGATGAAGGTGCACTTGATGAGGATCATGTTCCAAGTGCATTCTCAGAAAGAGAAGGCCAATGCATGTCTCAGCTCTCCCATCGCAAAGGAAATGCTTGTGAAGATGATTTGTAGAGGGACATTTACGGTCTTCACCCTCCTCTGCGGGAGCTCTGGAAAGCAAAGCCATCTCCTTGTCCCTCAGTGACAAGGAGGGGATTCTCTGGAGGTGGTAGTAGTTCTTCATTGATTCTATCGTCTCATCTTTCATTGTCAGGAGGCCTCACACAAATTAAAGAGTCTGCTGAAATAAAATTAAATGGTCGTCACTCCAGCAGAGCTAAAAAGAATGGTAATGTTTTCAAACCAAAAGGATATTTGCTGACATAGTTGAGCTTGGAGGTGATAAGCCTGCTAGCACGTAACGTCTCTTACATGATGTTTTGGGACACTCTGTGTATTAATCACATGTTATTTCACAGTTACTTTCTAATGGAAATCTGGTTTTATTCCACTACTCACATGTAACCTTATAAAAATATCATGTGTGTAACCGTTTGGGATAACTGGCTTTAAACAGCCCTTGAGGGAAAGCAGCATAAAAATGGGAGTCCCTCTCAGGGCACCTGGGTGGTTCGGTTGATCTCTGCTCAGGTCTTAATCTCAGAATTGTGGATTTAAGCCCCGTGTTCAACTTTAAAAAAAAAAAAAAAAAAGCCCCTTTCCTTTTTTCAAATATATTTATTTTGAAATGAGTAAGTTAAAAGGCTTTTTCTGAAGTATTTGTTTAGAGGTAAGGATTTAGCTCAATCATAAGGAATAGGAGAAAACTGGGAAACAATCTTCAATATCAATATAATGCTCTTTCCTGAGTCTCTGACAGTTTTAAAAAATTCTTGGATAAGGTAATTCAGAACCAAAGTATGTCAGGGACTGTGGCCCATGTTACCCACCAATATGGTTATATATTAGAGTATCTTTCTTTTCTTTTCTTTCTTTTTTCTTTCTTTCTTTTTTTTTTTTTTTGAGAGAGAGATGGAGGAGGGAGGAGCAGGGGGAGAGGGAGAAGAAGAATCTCAAGCAGACTCCACACCCAGCGTGGAAACCGACGCAGGCCTCGATCTCACAACGCTGAGATCATGACCTGAGCTGAAATCAAGAGTCAGATGCTTAACTGACTGGAGCCACCCAGGCACCCCTATATTAGAAAATCTTGAACTGATTTGCAAACTCCTTACTCTTTACGAAGTTAATGAGTCTGAAGATGATGGTGGTCTATGTATCTTCCTGAGAGACATCTTTATTCAGAAGGGAGAAAAGGAGAAAGAAAAGCAAACTGAACCGCTTTACCTTACTTTCAAAGAGCTTCATTGGCATATAAGACATGGTGGATATTATGAAAATTAGCATGTCCTTACCCTAGTTACATCATTTATCTAGTATTTACTGAGCATATGCTCTCTCCTTGGCAACCAGGTCTTGTCAGATTTCACGTTAAGTCGATAATTTGAACCTGCTAGAAGGTAGGATCACGTTCTCTTTTTTTTGGATCACTTTCTGAAATAGTTTTATTCGCTATACTATGTATCAAATGGCCAAACAAAATATTAAGTAATAAGACCCTTAAGATTAATAAACTCACCATCATTAAAACTGGTCACTGAGAAATAGCTCCTCTGTGTTGGATATATCAAATACAAAGACAAGGGTATAGATGCATAAGGAAAGCTGGAGAAAGAGCTCATAAACAGGAAGAATTATTTTAAATAAATAACCTAACTTGGTTCAAAGAAACAACATTAGAAATAGCATCTGCTTTAAAAAAAAAAAAAAAAAGAAGTGATTGTGGTATTTAAAACCAAGCTGACCTCTTCTCTAGTTTAAAATTTTTGCAGAACAAAATAGTTTTTCATATGCTGTTGCATGTAGAAGAACTTCTTTTGTCTCTAAAGTGAGTCATGCAGGAAGCAGATGGGGAGAAGAGAGCGCTGTTGATGTAGAGAACAGAAAGAAGCATGTGAGCTCTCTCTGAGTCTAGGGATTTTAGGAAAAAAACTTCGGTGGAGAAAAAAGTATTGGGACTCAAGAGACTTGTAAAGCCATAGCACTAAAATGTTGACCTGATAATCCCAGGAAGAAATGAAATGGCATGACATGTTTACGGGGTCTGCCGCATTCTAGAGGGCCCACACCACATATCTGTCTGAAGCAGGGTCCATGTCTTTCTTGTGTCTCTGCCTTTGTGCCCTCTACCTTTACATTATGGTGGACGCTGAGTTAGCATTAATGAGATGTAGGAAAATGGATATCTAGAGAGAGGTTTGGTTTTATTTATTTATTTTTAAAGATTTTATTTATTTGAGAGCGAGAGCACATGTGAGGGCACTCGCACCCTCAGGGCAGAGAGGGAAGGAGAGGGAGAGACTCTCAGGCAGACTCCACCCTAATCACACAGCCCATCCGGGCCTATCCCACACCCGACATCCCACCCTGAGCTGAAACCAAGAGTTGGAGAGTTGGACACTTGACCACCTGAGCCACCCAGGCGCCCCAGGAGAGCTGCTTTCATTTTAGGAAACTGTTTTTGTTGCAATTTGCTCAGTTGCTTTCCTTGTGTTCCTACAGGAACACAAAGTGCTGCTGACGGGGACCCCACTACAGAACACTGTGGAAGAGCTCTTCAGCTTGCTTCATTTCTTGGAACCAAGTCGCTTCCCTTCAGAAACCACCTTTATGCAAGAATTTGGTGATCTGAAAACTGAAGAACAGGTACTTTTCACGTCTACTTTGCACTTTAGTCATATAATTAAAGATTAACCCATGAAATGGCAAAGCACTGCTACTTAGGTGTCTAAAAACAAAATTATATCACTTTTTCTCACCTAGTAGTTAAGTGAGCTTTGTATCTCCTTTCCTTGGGCATTCTGAGTCTTCATTATGGAGGTTTTCTTGTTTGTCTGTTTGCCCTCATGATGGGCTGTTGAGATTTGTTGGGAGAGGTTACTTACCTTTTCATGTAATTTTCGAACACTGCCGTGCTGTTCAGATCAGTGATTTTGCTTTGTATACTTTTTTTTTTTTAAGATTTTATTTATTTGAGAGAGAGAGCAGCAGAGGGAGAGGGAGAAGCAGGCATCCCCCTGAGCAGGGAGCCTGATGCGGGGCTCGATCCCAGGAGCCTGGGATCGTGGCCTGAGCCGAAGGCAGATGCCAAGCCGGCTGAGCCACCCAGGCGCCCCTGCTGTGTGTACGTTTTGAGCACAGTGTCAGAAACCAGGGGAACTTGTAGTTATTTTCCTCCTGGAGTTTTGGGATCCTAGTCTTACTTCCTAGCTGTGTATACTCGGTCACATTGCTTACTTTTCTGAGTCTACATATTTTCATTTAAACTACTCCACAGGATTTCTGTGTGAAATAAATGAGGTATTGTGTATGAAAAGCAGTTATTTTATACGTTCTGAGAGTTCTGTGGGTATTTATTATTATACTGTTTTTGAAACAGATATGGAGATATGCTTGCAGTCTTGGTCTTTATGTTCCTCCTCAATTTACTGTCTGAAACCTCTTAGTTTAGTTCAGAGTGAAGTCCGTTTTGTTTTGGTTTTTGCGTTCTTAAAATAAAAACTGTCCTGTGTGCTATCTGTCCTACTGCCAGTCATCAGAGATGAGAACCAGGGAGTGACACCTCTGCTTGCTTGTCGGTGCGGGGGGTAGGTGGCTCCTGGCCTACTCGTTCTGTTAGCTCTTTCCAGAGGGGGAGGGGGCCGAAGCACTGCCACTCCCACGACATCACCTCTTCCCTCTTCCTCATCATCCCTGTGGCTTAAGACAGACAGAAGGGAAGGTCAGTGAATAAGCTGGGTTCTTTCCTGCTGTGTGCTTGTCGGGCCTTCTGGCTGTTCGGGCTCCTGGGCGGCTGAAATAGGCCACCTAACGCGGACTCATTCAACCTTCATGCACTTCTGTCATGCAAGCTGAGAGATCAGTGCCTTCATACCCTTACTGGGCTTTGACAGATGAAAACCAATGGTGAATGAATGTTTTAACATGCAAGCGAATCACGATACCAGTATTTACTTAAGGTCCTTTTTCAGGTGCAAAAACTCCAGGCTATTCTAAAGCCAATGATGTTGCGACGTCTCAAGGAGGATGTGGAAAAGAACTTGGCCCCCAAAGAAGAAACTATAATTGAAGTTGAGCTAACAAATATTCAGAAAAAATATTACCGAGCCATCCTTGAGAAGAATTTCACGTTTCTCTCCAAAGGTGGTGGTCAAGCTAACGTACCTAATCTTTTAAACACTATGATGGAATTACGGAAGTGCTGCAATCATCCATACCTTATCAACGGTAAGCCTGTGCACCAGCAAACGTGTTTAAATGACTCCAGAGGTCCTTTTCTCCTTCCCGACAGAGGATTTGTTGCTTTGTGGTCATTACTGGATCCTGTCACCAAACGTGGGTTTCACCAGCTTCCTGTTCTCTGTGATGCCTTGTTTTGTGGTGGCCGTTAGGCGGGGCACCATTGCCCCTGCTGACCTCTGCCGTGGGACCTCAGCTCACCGTTCTCCTTCTTCTCCGCCTCTGTGTCTCACCCCTCGGAAGGAGGTTTTGGTACTCATGCCTAAAAATCGCCAAACGTGCTAACAGTTAAAGAGAGATTGGCCTCAGTTGAGACTTCCTTGCTGTGCGTGTGTGTGCGTGTGTGTGTGTGTGTGTGCGTGTGTGTGTGAATCAGAGCAGTTAAAGAGGAACAGTGTGAGAAGGCAGCTGTCAGCTGTCTGGAGACTGTGGTAGGAGGGAACTTCTGTCTAGAGACGTCTAGGACCTATTCCCTAAGAAGGAGAGATCGTTTTAAAACTTTGATACTAGTTTGTTTCTGTTACTGATGAATACTTCATGGTCTTCCTGTGTTCTTAACTAAATTGATAGTGTCATGTAACTGATTTGAGTACAAACCTATATTACGTATTTCTGAAAATCATGAAAGGGATAAATATCGCAGGCCTGGATGTGTGGGACACTCTGGAGGATACGGGAGCCTTCAGGCTTGTCAGGGATGGAGATGAGAGAAGCCGCAGAGAAAGCGATGGTATTGAGACAGGCCTACAGGAATGGGAAGGAGTTTGTCAGTCAGGGTCAGAAAAAGGAAGGGCATTTAGGCTGATGTAATAACATGAGCAAAGACAAAGAGACAAGAAAACAAAGGGGAACTTGCCCAAAGTGTAAAGTCCGTGTCAGAAACAGTGTGGCAGTGAACGTCAGGCACATGCTGGGACCCTGCTGTGGCAAGCCTTAAAGGCCAGGCCATGGGATTTGGGCTTTCGTTTGCAGGCAGTGGAGAGCCATGGCTAGTGTTTGAGCTGAGAAACGATTCAGGATGACTGATCTGGCAACATCATATAAAACAGATGGGAAGGAGTAGGCAGAGACATACAAGCGGAAAGACCGGCTTGGAGGCTTTCGCTGCCTGCTGTCCTGGCCAGAGTCCATACGGGTTAAAGAAAGGGGCCGGCCGGCCAACTTGGGGTGTTTGTGCGCAGTTATAACGGGCCAGCAATGCAATATTAGGTTCCTTTACAGGGGAGTAGGAACAAAGCTTGGTGTTGTCTTTATCACAATCTGTGAAGTTCAAGGGCAGCTAATTTAAAGAGTTCCTGATCTTTCCCCACCCCATTCCTGACACACCTGTCCACCACCTTAGACCCACAAGTTCCTGTTATTAGATGACAGAGGGGCCCACACCTGCAAGACCGCCTCGACATTGCCCCTGAGGTCATTGCTGTGGTGTGACATCGATGAATTTCCTTCTACGACTTTGTGATTTTTAGCTTTGTCTTCCAAAGGGAGTATCATGTGTGATAATTATGTTTACCACGGCCGGCCTACTAATCACCATGTGTTTTAGAGCCTGTGAGGCCATTACAGGGAGTGTCAAGCAACCTGTCCCTGTGTTGGGGAGCTGGAGTTGGGGCTTAAGGTGACTGGTGGTATGAGTAAAGCACGTGTGCTTGTATGACACACACACACACACACACTCTTGCATTTAATATCTGCTAAAAAGAAAATGAGGAATAGTAGCCTACAAGGGGAAAGTGAGGGCAGTCACAAAAGAGCTGAAATGCTGCCGGCAGGATGTGTGCGAGAGGGCTGACCTCAGGGGTGGCTGTCAGATACCCGCTTGCAGCTCCGTCAAGTTTGCCTTGACTGTTTACATGCCAGTGACATGCATTGAACATGTCAAGGGAGGAGTCCTGCCTCCCGTCCCCCTCGCCCCGCCCCTACCCCCCCAACACAGCTGGTGGGTCTCTTCCTTGGCTGATTGCTCTTCAGGGTCATCTTCTATACTTCATGGTTCACCAGGAGTCTCTTAGGACTTGTAAGACTTGGGTCTGTGGCATTATCCTAATTGGTCACACCTTGGGGTCAGCGTTTCTGTCCCTGCAGCTTATGGAGTATCCACTAAGCAGGGGTCTTTATATACCTTTATGTTGAGAAGTTGTAGTTAAAAAAAAAAATATATATATATATATATCCCCCCCCCCCCCCCCCCCCCGCCCATTTGGCGTCACAACTACCCAGATAACTTAACGTGGATGTTGGGTTTCACTGAGGTTGCTCCACGGCCGTATCGCCCATTCTCATCCACAATCTGGAGTAGAAAGTATACCTATGTGCTGCTAACCCTACACATATGTATTGAGCCGATTCAAGGACATTTTTAGTGTTGCAGTTTCAATTGAAATTTGTATGGGTGGTGGCAGAGTCAAGCGGCCCCAGTCAAGCTAAAGTTCAATTCAGGAAAGCATAACACTTCCGTAACTGTGGAAAGTAGAAGCAAATATATGCGTAAGTTGGTAACATATGGTAATATAAGCAAAGCAGAAGGAAGAAAATTAGAAATGATGGTAGAACACAAACTGAGTAATATTTTAAATGTGGGTTAATATCTTAAGTGCTTAGCACAGTGTTTGGGGTGCACTGTGTGAGCATTTGGTAAGTGTCACTAGTTGTTGCTTTACTTGCTCTGATAAGTGGGTAACTGGGGAACGTAAATGCGGTTACTGTTACTGGCCCAAGCTTCAACAGAATGCAATGCCCAGTTTTAGGTTCCCTGTGTGAGAGTACAAATGATGTTGAAAACTTGGTCGAGGTCCCCTGATGGTTAGGAAGTGACCTAAGGTCATTTGTTGTCATTGTTGGGGGTCGGAAGAGTACAGAGAAGAGTGGGCAGAAAGAAAATCAGCTGAAGCTTGCACGATGGAATGAATTTTTCAGATAGAACATGGTAACTTTTTTCTCGTAATCTTCAAAAGAAAATAATTTCTTGTTGGTGGCTAGATGACATTGGCTAGATAATAACTTCTCATTATAGCGAGCTAACATTGCAATTCCTGTCCTCACGGTGACCATCTGTTTAAGTGAGAAGGCTTCCACACTCGTTTCAAGTTGTCTTTGACACCACACACACACACAGTTTGAAATGTAGCATGAACAGTAATTTGGGGCAGTGTCAACAAAGTATTTTGGCTTATCATAACCTATTTCCAGGTAATTTTCAGACTGATATTTACAAATCTCACATCAAGGTAAATAATTGGTAAACTTGGACACTTTGGCTGTGACGTCGGAAAGTAGAAATTGCTTTCCTCCAGCACCTTCCCCGACGTTCTTTCCTTCAGTCTGGCCATAATAAGTATAGTGCTAGAAGAATCATATAGGAAATATGTTTGCTGATATTTAAAAAACTGGCTGCCTCTTTAAGAACCTTGAATTCATAACAAAGAGCTAAATTGATGAATTCAGCAGTAGCTTTTGTCAGGTAAGAACAAATGTATTTTAATTTTGACTGTTCTTTATAAGATGAGAAATTATTAGTAGCAATCAAAAAGCAAGAAAGTTACTTTTCTCATCTCTGAATAAATTTAAAATGAAAATTTTTCTGCTAATTTGAGAAATTATTTGTATTTTCAGTTTTTTACTAAAATTATTCAAATGTCTGATAATTATCTTGTCAAAATGATTATTTCATTTTTGAAGACTTCATTGGCCCTTAGCTTGTTTTAAACTAATATACTATATTTTGATTCTAAGTTATAATTTTCATATAGACAAAAAGTAACTACCCAAGTATCAGGAGTAAATCTGTTTCTGAATTGTAAAGAGCTTATACTATATTGCACATGAAGAAACTTTTTAAAAGACCTCATGTAATACATAGACTTAAATCTATTTCCCCTGGCTCCTGAGGGCCTTCTTGTCCTGAATCCAGAACCTAGATTTATAAATTTCATGTTTTGAGAAATATTATTCAGCTTTGTTCGAGAATATTCTTTATTTAAGAACATTCCTGCTAATGATCTTCAACAGCATTTTGTTTTTACCTTTTCCTAGTTAAAACCTTTCCCCTTTTTTTTCCCACTTAGAGCAAAGTCCTGAGCGTTAGCCTCTTACTCGTGTGGCGATTCTGCCCCAGCTGGCTTTTTTAGCCAGGCCCCCTTCCTCACAAGTAGCAAAGCAGTGTGCTTTGCAGAGGCCTTAGTGCTTGGGTCAGGGCATTAAATGACTTTAATCTGTTCTCAGTAAGATTCTTTGCTGATTAATAATTAAGAAGCTGCATTTCTGCATACGACCATGCCATAACTTAATTTGCACAGGTGCCCTTAGAGTGAAAATAGGATGGCACTTTTTTTTTTTTTTTTTTTTTTTTTTTTACTTCCGTTGCTGCTTGTGGAAGTTCTGTCCCAGAGGCCATGGGGTCTAACTCACCTAACCTTTAAGTCCCCTTTGAGATTTTATGCATGCTCATCCCGTGTATTGTTAGTTCACACACATGTTTAAAACCGGTGGTAAGCAGGGTAGTTGACACTTTCTGGCACAGTTGAAGGCAGGGAACCAATCCCATTAGGTGGATTTGTTTGTTTGTATTTTCTAAAGAATATGTGACCCCACCAGCACGGGTCTGGCCTCCTTCCGTTAACTCCAGAGACGGGCGGAGGCCAGACCGGTGCTGTCTAATTCTAGCTAAGCCACCTAAAGCAGTTGAAGGGAGCTTAGCCTGTGTGTGTTTGGGCTTTGGGGGTGGGGTGGGGGGGTGGCTGTAAGCGCTTCTTTCCTGACGATGCCATTCTGTTGAGGCTTCTCTGATGCACCCAAGTCTTTGAACAAGCGGAACTCTGCACGAGGCTGGGAGAAAGAGGGCTAGGCATAGAAGAAGCCTTATTTGTGTAAGACAAGTTTGATTGCTGCTGTTGGTTTTTAAACGCTTGAAAAGCTTTGGCTCCTTCAAGATAGAATTTTTGTACCTCATGAAACGATCAGATAAGAATGAACATGGAGGGAGATTTAGAGATTGCAATAGAAGATGTGTGTTCAGAACCCCTAAAAAAAAAATCCCTAAAAATTATCCTGAGAAAGGAATTCCCTTTTGTTGCCCTCCTTTGGGCTGTATTTCCATGCAGTTATATACAAAAACTACTGTCCTGACACTGTAATTATTAGAACTCTATTCCCTTGTTTCTTAGCTTCAGAACAGATTTTGTTGTTTGTGTTTATATTCAGCTAGTAAACAGTTCTTCATTTCTTTAGCAATTTAGGTTCCAAATTTTCTGTAGGTATCTGGCCCTTGGCTTGTTTCTGCCACTTCTGGCTTGACAGTCTGTTGTTGAAATTCAGTTTCTACAGACAGCAAACATTTGTTTGTTGGAAAATGTGGGGTTTTTTTCCCCCCAAATGTTTAAATGTGTTGTGCTTAAAACTTTGATCCCTTTTATACTTCCATGGTTTTGTGTTAGACCTGACTTTTAGTAAGTGGACAGATTCATATTCATAAACGTGAGTATGGCGTTCCGGTTCCTATAGTTAGCAGTGGGTTTTGAAAGCAAGTTCATTGTTTTTAGTAATAAAAACCTTCTACAGTATTCACGTTATGCTGTCCAATCTCTGCAGGTGCTGAAGAGAAAATTTTGGAAGAGTTTAAAGAAACACACAATGCAGACTCTCCAGATTTTCAGCTCCAGGCGATGATCCAGGCTGCTGGCAAGCTAGTGCTGATTGACAAGCTGCTGCCAAAACTGAAGGCTGGTGGCCACAGGGTGCTTATCTTTTCCCAGATGGTGCGCTGCTTGGACATACTGGAAGACTACCTCATTCAAAGACGGTGAGGCCACCGCGCCATAAGAATATAAAGGAAATAAAAAATGACCTTTCCCAGGGCTCCAGGTGGCTCACCTCAAAGTGACATTCATAATAGAGGGGAAGGAGTGGGGGAGATGTATCACATCTCTCTTTAAAAACTGCCAATGTACACGGCCGTTATTCTGTGTGGTGCCTACGGTAGGACACTGCGTACTTTTGATGGCAATTTCATTTCCCATTTTTTTCACTTGACTAGGGGAGAACAGGTCTTACCTAAAATCAGAATTGCTTATTATTAAGAGGTGTCGGCCATTTTTAAGAGTTGTTATTTTAACTAACGGGGAAGTAAAATAAAATTTAATTTTTGAGCATTCCACCAGTTATATGCCAACCTACAATAAAACCTGTTTGCTCTGAAATGATTTCTGATACATAATATTACTCAGATAATACATATCCCATGTTGTAATACTTGCTTTACCGAAAGAAACAAGAGTGCCGTAGTCGTGTGGCAGGCCTCCTTGTGAACCCTGACGTTTTCTAGGTACCCGTACGAGAGGATCGACGGCAGAGTGAGAGGAAATCTCCGCCAGGCAGCTATTGACAGATTCTCCAAACCTGATTCTGACCGGTTTGTTTTCCTCCTGTGCACAAGGGCGGGAGGTTTAGGCATTAATCTTACTGCTGCTGATACCTGCATCATCTTCGATTCCGACTGGAATCCCCAAAATGATCTCCAGGTAAACACACAAGAAAATTGTCCTGATGCCTTTTTTTTTTTTTTTTTTTTTAAGTCATTCCACTATGATGAAGACTCCCCAGTCAAACCAGTAAATTAAAGTTGTGTCCTCACTCACGCGGTGTCCCACGATCGGGCAAATGAACCAAGTAGTAATCCATGTACTAACAATGTCCAAGTAATTTCATAGTATGTTAACCTTCTGTACTGCACCTTCTGCACTCCTCCTGTATTGGAACAGGGGTCTCGGAACTGGCACATGAGTCTTTTCTTTCTTTGGTGGCCATTCATTTCCTTTTTCTTCCAGGCTCAGGCTAGATGTCATAGAATAGGACAGAGCAAATCTGTGAAGATCTACAGGCTGATTACAAGAAATTCTTATGAGAGGGAAATGTTCGACAAGGCGAGTTTGAAGCTCGGCCTGGATAAAGCTGTGCTGCAGTCCATGAGTGGGAGAGAAAGCGCTACCAATGGGGTAATAATCCACGCTCGCCCGGGCCCTGCCTGTATTCTGGCTCCTTAACTTGAATTAATTCGTAGCAAGAAATTATCCAGCATCGAATCACTTTCAGCCTCACTGTTTTCAGCCTATTTTGTCACATTGTCTTTTTTATGTTTCCAGCTTGTCCTACTTGAGGGGCGCCTGGGTGGCTCAGTCGGTTAAGCGTCTGCCTTTGGCTCAGGTCATGATCCCAGGGTCCTGGGGTCGAGCCTTGTGTCACGCTGCCTGCTCAGAGGGGAGTCTGCTTCTCCCTCTCCCTCTGTGCTCTCTCTCTCTCTCTCAAATAAATAAATAAAATCTTAAAAAAAATTCTCCTTCAGTACAATGAAGCATTTGTGTTGTCTACAAACATTTCAATTCTAAATGATTTTAAATACCTCACTAAAACAGGTACAACAGCTTTCCAAGAAAGAAATAGAAGATCTGCTACGAAAAGGGGCCTATGGTGCACTCATGGATGAGGAGGATGAAGGGTCTAAGTTCTGCGAAGAAGATATTGATCAGATTCTCCTGCGGCGAACCCACACTATCACCATTGAGTCTGAAGGGAAAGGTTCCACATTTGCTAAGGTGCGAAATGATCTGAAGAGGCAGGTGTTCTATAGAAGTGTAATAGAGTTTCCTTAAAGCAGGACCTTATAAAGTACCCACAAGATGCATGTGTAACATTGGCTTTATAATTGAGAATTAAGAAAGTAATTATGACCTCCCTGTGGAGCCCCTAATGCATAGAAGATTCTTTGTGTGCGTTTGGGTTCCCTTCTCTGTGTATGGCCCTGGGAGTCACCCTCACCTTGGCCTCATATCTGCTTCCTGTGTCCTTGACCCCACCCTCTCCACTTCTGGAGTTCCTGCTCTGACATCATCTTGCTTCCTGAGATCGTGATTCCTGATGGAGCCTGTAAGAACAGTTGAGTCACTCCTATCTTAAGAAAGCCTCTCCTCTGTTTTGCCCTCCAGCTACAACTCCTCCTTCTTTCGTAGCTAAAATCCACGAGTGTTGTTTGTACCAGCTGTCCCCACTGCCTCCCTTTCTGCTTATTTTTCAGCTTCCAGCTTGCACCCCTCCCCCCACCCCTCCATCAGACCAGCTCTGGTGAAGGTCACCACCGAGCCTTCCTTCCCACCACGTGACTGAGGGTGCCTTCTGAGGCTTCCCCTACACATGGTTCCACCCATCCACACCCAGGCCCTCTTTACACCTATATTTTTAACAGCTTTATTGAAATGTTATTTGCTTACCATAAAATTCACCAATTTTAAGTGTACAGTTCAATGCCTCTACCATATTTGCAGACTTGTGCAGCCATCACCACATCCAAGTTCAGAGCATTTCCATCACCCCAGATCCTCTTGCCCATTAGCAGTCAGCCTCTGCCTCCCCCCCCCCCCCACCCCAAGTCCTTGGCAGCCACTAGTCTACTTTCTCTATCTCTGTAGCTTTGCCTACTCCGGACATTTCATAAAATGGAATCATAAAACATGTGGTCTTTTGTTTCTGGCTTCCTTCACTTAGTATAGTGGTTTTGAGATTTATCCGTGTTGTGGCATGTGTCAGTAATTCCTTCCCCTTTTTTGCTGAACATTGTTCCTATTATATAGGTGTACCTCTTTTAGCAATTGATGATGGGTGTTGGGGTTGTATGTCCATTCACTAGTTGATAATGAAATTTGGGTTGTCTCCACTTTGGGGTTATCATGAATGTTGTTATGGACATTTATGGACAGGTTTTTATGTGGACATATTTTTTCATTTCTCTTACGTACATACCATAAATAGAGTTGCTGGGTCATATGTTAACTCCATGTTTAACCCTTTGAGGAACTGACACTGTTTTCTAGTGACCATAGTACCATTTTCTCTTCACACCAGTAGTGATTTAGGGCTCCAGTTTTGCCATATCCTTACCAACACATTTTATCTTCTGACTTTTTGATTATAGCCATATTTGTGAGTGTGAAGAACTATCCCAGTCTGGTTTGATCTGCATTTTCTGATGCTTTTGAGCATCTTTTCATGTGCTTGTTGGCAAGTAAAGTATATCATTTTTGGGGAAATGTCTGTTCACATCTTTTGTTCATCTTTTGAGTTACTTGGCTTTTATTATTGAATATTAAAAATTCTTTATATATTCTGGATAAAAGTTTCTCAATAAAATGATTTGCAAGTATTTTCTCCTAGTCTTTCCTAATGGTATTTAATTTCAGTGAAGTCCTGGGTGCCTGGGTGGCCCAGATGGTTAAGCGTCTGCCTTTGGCTCAGGTCACGATCTCAGGGTCCTGGGATTGAATCCTGCGTCAGGCTCCCTGCTCAGCGGGGAGTCTGCTGCTTCCCCTGCTTACGTGCACGCTCTCTCTCTCTCTTCTCTCTCTCTCGTTCTCTCAAATAAATATTTAAAAATTTTTTCAATAAAGTCCAGTTCACCCATTTTTCTCTTTTTATTGTTCATGCTTTTGATATGTTGTCTACCCTAAGGTCACAAAGATTTGCTCCTGTTTTCTTCTCTGAGTTTTATAGTTTTCACTCTTACATTTAGGTCTATGATCCCTTTTGAGTGAATTTCGGTGTGTGCTGGGAGATAGCGGTCTGTCTCCTTCCCTTTGCTTGCGGACATCCCGCTGTCCCAGCTACTCAGTCTTGGGAGGCTTCCTCCTTTGGCTTCTGTGCCCCAGCACCTTCTCTCTCCTATCTCAGCCTCTGTTCGGGTTCTGTTCTCTGTCCTCACGGGCACTTCCCATTCAGCGTGTTCAAACCCCCCCTCGTCCTCCCTGTTCCTCCTCCCTCTGCGTGCACACTCACTGCCCCGGTTGTTCACCTGACTGATGCTGTTCGGACGCCAGTGTTGGCGGCTGAGGTGTTTCCTGGCTTCCTCCTCCTCCTCCGTGCTTCACATCCATGCAGATTCTAACCCCTTCTGTTTCACTTTTTAAAGAATATAGTTCTAGACTGCTTTTCTCCACTTGTGCTGGCACCGTTTCCAGTCTTTGCTGCTTCCTCTCTAAGCTGCTGCAGTAGCCTGTTCCTCTCTCCCATGTCCCAGGACAGCAGGATGATCTCTCTAACAGATGGCTTGGGATAGGAGTGTGTCCATCTTGAGATTCTTTCCATTTTGAAAGAGTTCATGGGTACCTGAGGATAGAGTTCTGACCCCATTAACAGGACGTGCGAGCCCCTGTGTGACCTGGTTTCTGCCTGCCTCGCCAGCTTGACCTTTAGCTGCTCTCCCCTGACCACGCTTATCACCAGTGCCATGACACAATTGCCTTTCTTCTCTTCTGAGCCTTTGCACATGCTCTGTGGTGAACATGTCCACATGCTTTCCTGTTCTCGGAGTTCTTAACAGTCTGGGCCAGGCATTATATTCTGGGGAGCCTGTTCTTTCTTCCCAGCCATGCCCTTCCTGCACCCCCACGTGAACCTGGCTGGCTCCCTCCTCTGTAGATCAGTTGTACCTGTATGTACCATTGTCACTGTCATTGGTTACACTGTGCTGCCTTCTTTAGCTTCCTGATCTGTTGAAAGCCCTGGACAGAGAGCTGCCTGTGGGACGGTCTTTCATCCCAGCCCACCGACTGCAGCATCTGGCACACAGTGCAAGAATGCATACGTGTTTGGCTGAATGAGTAAATGAAAGCTGCTTTGCATTGTGCCTCTGAGAAAAGCATCTCAAAGTAATGCATATTTTTTCCCCTTTAGGCCAGTTTTGTTGCATCTGGAAATAGGACAGATATTTCCTTGGATGATCCAAATTTCTGGCAAAAGTGGGCTAAGAAGGCTGAATTGGATATTGATGCCTTAAATGGGAGGGTGAGTGAGAGGTCCCGTTCAAACCCTATCTAATCTAACCCAAGGGATGCTGTTTTAGAAGTTTCAAATTTATCTGCTGTTTGTTCTAGAACAACCTGGTTATTGACACTCCGAGAGTGAGGAAGCAAACCAGGCTGTACAGTGCAGTGAAAGAAGACGAGCTGATGGAATTTTCAGACTTGGAGAGTGATTCTGAAGAGAAGCCATGCCCGAAGCCACGCCGGCCCCAGGACAGGTCACAGGGCTATGCTCGGAGTGAGTGCTTTAGAGTTGAGAAGAATCTGCTCGTCTATGGGTAAGTCAGGCTCGTGTGAAAAACGGAATCTTATTTTAAATATGGAATTCTAATCAGTGTAGAGAAGCGTGTCTGTGTTGGGATTTCTGTGACCCCCCAGAGTGCAGCCAGGCACGTGACCGTGCAGCAACTGCGACGGGACCCAGGGTGGTTTGGTTCAGGTGCTCATGCTTCTTCATATCCTCGTGCGTTTGGAGGAGCACCAGTTTGTCCCTTAAGGAATTATGTCAGATCCAGATTTACTTGTTGGTGACTAATAACTCAGAACAAAGTCTCAAAATGACAAAATCTTTTCCTACTTTAGCTTCGCATAAAGTTTTTGACTGGGGTAGTCTTTCAGTATTTTTCTGCTATAAAACCTTGTTAAAGGCAGTCGTCTCAGTTATAAAGCTCTTCCAGCTCCTGGAACATAAATGGATGGTTATTTCAACTCTGAATGTGTCGTACTTTTCCTGCTGGACAACATGTCTCAGAAAGGCAGGACCCACATCTAATTCATCTCTGACGAGCACTCATCACGCAGTGCTCTGAGTGATGGCAGGGTGCTCACTAAATATCTAAGTCTGCAAATAAGAATTCTCTGGCATTTTATGGGACTGCAGGCAAGTTCCATTCCAATAAAAAAGCCACCACCAAAACGATATTTCTGACGATATTTCTGTGGATCTGATGATATCCTGCTTTTGATGATTTCTTCCAGTGGATTATCATGAGTTTCAGAATAAAGACACACCTTCTGTTAACATGGCATACAGGGCTCTGATCTGGCTCTTGTCTGTCTTGTCAGTCCTTTCTCTGGGTAGCCTGGGCTTCTGTTGGGACAAACCGCTCCATTTCCTTCAGTGTGCCATGCTCTGTCTCGTCTCTGTCTTTCTACAAGTTCTTCGCCTGCCTAGAGCACCAGCCCCCGCACACCCAGCCCACAGACTTGATCTGTCCAACAGCTCCGGTCGTTGACATCCAGCACAGGCTTCCCCTCGGCACTCTGCACCAGAGTGTCTGGCTTGCACGTTCTGTCACACTCGTCACGTTGGTTTATGACTTCAGGTAGCAGGCCTCCCCCGCCGAAGCCCCACTTAGAGCTCCATGAAGCCCAGGACTCTTTTCTCTGTGTCCACAGGGAAGAGTGCAGTGCCAACAGACGCACAGTGAGTGCCAAATCAGTGATTTCTTACGGAATAAATGAAGTTCAGCGGAAGCCCATGCTATATCTCAGCTAATTATCTGCAAGCTAGACAGTCTTTCCTGTCTGCTCTTATGTGGTAGACAGACACCTGAGCCCTTCGCTACTGGCACCTGCTCGGATGTTTCAACCTAATGATCAAAGTTGAGAATTTTGCTGGTAACTTTAGAAATGGAATATCTTAATAAGTCCTAAAGCTAAGAAGTATGTGTAGAGTGCCATGTCTCTGAGGAAGGGCCTTCTCTCCTCCCCTAGGCCTCGCTATGTAGGAAACACCTGTAGGAGGCTGGGCACTGTGCTAGGTTACTCAGACACAGGGGACGCACCTGTGAGCAGGACAGTCTCGGCTCTTGTTTCAAGGCAGGTGGACAAGCGGAAATGGCAGGAAACCATGATGGTGTTGTGGCCGGGAAGACTGTGCCGATGGAGGGTAGAAGCATGTCTCTCCTGTAAGACAGCTCCGGTATCATCTCCCCACTTCTGAACCTGGGGGAATACAAGAAGGGATTCCACAGACGATGATACGACTTGATGGGTGGATATCATGGCTCAGCCCGGGTAGGAGAGAGAGTTGGGTGCTGGGCAGGGAGGAGAGAGTTCCAGCCAGAGAGAGCAGTGTGTCCAAAGGCCTGGAGGTGAGGACTGGCCCTGCAGTTTGAGGAACTGAGAGTTCACAGAAGCCAGAGATGACCAGGCCAGGGCATATGTCCGGGCCTGCTGGGGTGGGCCCGGCCCTGTGCCTCTCACAGCCAAGGCCTCCCTGCCGCGCACAGCCCTCAGTCCCTGAAGAAGGCAGAGGAGGGGCTGGCTTCTCTCCTGAGCTGCGGCCTGGGGGGAGACACGGTGCAGACAGCATCTGCCCATCTGTTGTTACGCTCTCACGCCACAACACCCAGATCAAAGAGCACAGCACTGTGTCTAACTGGGATTGTAACCCCGAATAGACTCTTCAGTGTCAGCGGTGTGCTATCTGTTCCGTTCTGTGTGCAATCCTTCTCCTCCCCCGCCCCTGCCCTCGCCCCGGTTTACACAAGGGCCTGCAAGTTCTCAAAACATGTTGCCTGTGAATGCTCTTGTACTTGGGAGTTAGCGCTCCCTGTTTCAAAAGGAAACTCAAGCCTGTTCACAGTCTTTCAGTTGTTATCGTGGCATCTCTTTGAGGTAGACTGAAATATGACCATTCCTCCTTAGCATCGTGTCCTCGATTTGGGAGCAGCCACACCCACCTCAGGTCACCGTGCATCTCAGATAGCTGGTCAGCATTGAAACATGCTAACCATGACAGAGCGAGGCAGAGGGTAAAGTGTCCAGGTCCCGGCATGCTTTCCTGTCCCCAGAGGTGCGGCCACTGCAGGGATCTGACTGAGAAAGCCTGTGTCAGACCCGTGGGCGTTACTTCAGTGACGGTTCAACTCCAGCACCGAAGAGCCGCGGGCTCAGGCCCCGCTCTGTAACATGTGTTTTTGACTCTTGTGCCCTGAAGTGCTTTCCTATCCCCCAATGTAAAATATTGCTAGTTCTGATCCAGGATTTCCTAACACTGCTACTTGACTGAAAGGAAAGCCCCACATCTAAACTGAAAGGCACCATCTACATGCTGACGATTTGCTTTGCAGCTGGGGACGGTGGACAGATATCCTTTCCCACGGACGCTACAAGCGTCAGCTCACCGAGCAAGACGTAGAAACCATCTGCAGAACCATCCTCGTGTACTGTCTCAATCATTACAAGGGGGATGAGAATATCAAAAGCTTCATCTGGGATTTGATCACGCCCACGGCGGACGGCCAGACGCGAGCCTTGGTCAATCACTCTGGTAGGTCTGCTTCATGCTGTCTGTACTGCGGGCTCGCAGAGAGCCACCCGGGACCCTTGTGACGCCATCTAGACCCCGGGTCTCTCTGCCACGAAATCGACATGTCTGAGTCCAACGTTGTAATTGGGGTTATAAAAAGCTGCTGTTACTATTATTATTCCTCCGATTCCAGGTTTATCTGCCCCAGTGCCACGGGGAAGGAAAGGAAAGAAGGTGAAAGCCCAGAGCACACATCCGGTGGTGCAGGATGCCGACTGGCTGGCGGGTTGCAACCCGGACGCCCTGTTCCAGGAGGACAGCTACAAGAAGCACCTGAAGCACCACTGTAACAAGTACGTTTTGAAAGGGTCTATATGACCGCCCAGGAAACTGTGCTCCCTGCTTCTGTACAGCTTTGCTGTTTTCCTTGAAACATAGTCCTGGGTCACACGACGGTATACCTTCAGAGGACGGATTGTCTTTTTCTTTTTCTTTAGTATGGTAGATACATAACACGGTCTTCCCATTTTAACCGTTTGTTAAGTACACAACTCCTTGATATTAATTACATTCAGAATGCTGTGTACCCATCAGCACTGTCTATACGCCAAACCTTTTCATTGACCCCGGTGTAAACTCTGCACCTACGAGACAGTCACTTGCCCTCCTCCCTCCCTGGCCCAAGTCCCTGGCAGATACCCTTCTACCTTCTGTCTCTACGGATTTGCCTATTCTAGGTAACTCCTAAGTGGAATCATAGAATATTTGTCTGTGATGTCTGGCATAATGTTTTCAAGGTTCATCCACTTTGTATCCTGTGCCAGAATTTCATTCCTTTTCGTGGCCGAATAATACTGCATTGTACGTGTGTATACCACATTTTGTTTATCCATTCATCTGTTGACGGGCACTTGGGTTGATGGGCACCTTTTTTGGCTGTTGTGAGTAATGCTGCTATAAATGTTGCAGATAACTAAGTTGTAACCAAGATGTGTTAGAGAATGACTGTTTGCCTTGTATGACCCCACCTTCAGCTGACTACTTCCACGGGAGGGACTGAGGAGTTTACGTGGAATTTTTTGCTTAATCATACCTCAGTGGCTGGGTCCTTTTTTCTTACCTGTGAGCTTAGAATCCTGTTCCTTATCTTTATTTCCAGAACCTGATTATATGTAATTGAAGAATATTAAATCTGTACTTATTTCATTGCTGGGAGCTCTGGTAACTATCCTCATATTAAACTGACATCTGCATGTGGCGAAGCTTCTTCTCTTGCCATGACCGTGCGTTTCTGAGAATCATAGCCTAGCCAGCACTGAACAGGTCCACCACCTGTAGCTTTGTGGGGCCCTGGGCAAGTTCCTCAGCCTCTTTAAGACTCACTTGCCTTGTCAGCCACCTAGAGCTCTGCAGCAAGACCTCAACTGGATGAAGCAGGATCTAAATCAATGTGTATCTCTGCTAAAAAGTAGCAGCAAAAGTCTGAGCACATAGCAACTGGCGGTGTGGCAAGCACTTCGCATGCATTATCTGTGTGCCCTGCCTAAGATGAGTAGTGCTCTCTTATCCCCGTTTACCTGACGAGGAAATGGAGACTCCGGCACTTACGGTCTCAGCTAGTTAGGGAGCAGAGCCAGCTTGGAAGTCGAGAACGGCTGAGGGCAGTGCCCTTGCTCTCAGTGACCCCCACCCACCTGGGAAGCCTGCCTGCCCCACGGGGTCATCCCAGGCCTCACGCAAAGTAACTCCTGGCTGGCAGTGATGAATGGTTCTTACCCCTTTTTAAATATGGAAGTGCTTTCGGGGCCTGCCTTTGATCACTATCACTAGATTTTGACTGACAAATTTTTTCCTTTTTGAGTCTTTAAACCATTACCTCAAACCATTTTGGTGCCTCGGAAATTGTTTGTTGTTACTACTGTGGCACAATAGTTCTCCCTAAAATCCTGCCCCACTTACAGCTGTTAGAAAACTTCTGTTTCCTGTGGTTTATGTGAACTTTGGGTCAATAGCCTTCTGGGTTCTGGATTCAGACAAACCGGAAGTGAAGTGGTTTGGTGTGGGAACAATGGCTCCTGCGCCTGGATCCCAGAGTGATGGGGGCGGGAGTTTTTAATTTCCCATTCTACTATCAGTAGCAGACTTTTTATAGAGTACCCTCCCTAATTAGTATGTGAGATGGCGCTAGTATGCTCCTCCCTGTGGTCTCAGGAGAAGACTGGCAAGGCTTGCCATCTCCTCTCTGGGACGTCCATTTCTTCTTCCTATTGGATCATGCCCTGGGACCTCTCAGGATCTAAAGTGGGGAAATGGTTGATGACTGGTAAGAGAAAATGAAACCCAAATCAAGGGACCTCCTAGAAAATAGCTAGCCAGTTCTCTTCAAAAGTTTCAAGACACAAAGAGGAGCTGTCTTAGGTTAAAGGAGATGAAGGGGCAGGACAGATCAGTGCTATGTGTGGTCCTGAACTGGATGCAGGTCCAGAAGGTGGTCACTAGTGGGGATAGCCAATTAAATGTGAATGAGGTCTGGGGACTCGTTAGTAGTCTGGTCTGTCAGACTTATTGAGTGCAAACTCAGGGTCAGAGCCCACCTCCTCTCTGCTTTGTTATCCTGCTGGTACCACTGAGCTTGCCAGTTGCACTGGTTTGAATTTTTTTCCTCTAGAAGAAAGGTGACATTCATAGTTAGCTCATAAAAGTCTGTGCATAACTAAAATTCCTCCCAAAGAAGAAAATTGTATCTTTTGTCAAAAAAGGGAGAGAAACCATTCAGATCATTGCCACTGTGCAGAGTTTTGGTTAAAAAAAGAGAATCCAGTCAAAGACGGAGGGTATTTCCTTTGGAATTACCCTTTCTGAGCATCCTCTAGAAGGAGATCCTGGCTGGTAAATCCTTCCCTAAACAGAGAAGAAACAAGGTGCCAGCCATGGAGGCCCATACTGTTATTCTTTTGCCAGTTCAGTGTGGCACAGCCAATTTTTAATCTTACCAAAAGAAAAATCTTAAAAAATTAAAATGAAATACCCAGAATGACTGTTTACACTGGAGCTTACTCAGATATTTACAGCCTCAGACTTTGTCCATCTAGAGCCCATGTTGCTCAAAAGCAGACACCGGGTGGGGAGGCAGGGATATCACGGGTTACCTTTTCATGTATGCGGGAGTAGTCTGTTTTGGGGAAGCTGTCCCTGGTTGTCGTTTTGACGTTTTCAAGGACCCTTGCCATGTGCCGAGAGACGTTGTGAGGTGGTGGAGTCAGAAGGCCTAATCCCAAGTGGTCCATGCTCAAGGTGACTCTGTGACCTTGGACATGTCACTGGTCTTCTGTTACCCTCAGTTTTCACGTTTGTGAAGTGGGAATTATAACATGCCCCACTTCATCATAGGATTATTGTGACGGTGATCCGTCAGCTGTAAAACACCCTCTAAATGTGTGATGGGATGACCCAGCTAGGGAAGGGGCATTTACTATTATCGTGTACTCACGGCCAAGGAGGTGAGTCTTCAAATACTCAGTCCTGAGTGCACAGCAGGGGCTGTCCAGCAGGAGATGCTAGAACTCAGAGTCGACCTGGGCCTTTGGGATTTACCAGGTGAGCTTTACTGAAATACTAATGTTAAGCCATTGAGGAGATCCAAGTGATACTGAAAATTTGGTTCCTCGAATTCCATGAGTTTTTAGAAACTGATTCCTTGAGAATGACGAAGAACGTCAGTGGATTGGACACATTTTAACCTCCTTTGTGTCATTTTCTTATTTCTTAAGCTACAACCTAGGCTTCCAGGTAATATGGACTAGAAGGAATATAAATAATGTTTAATACTCCTTAAGCGAGACGAGTGAGGACCCACCCTCTACCCCACCCCCATCACCATCTTCCTTGCTCGGAAGCAGAGTTGTATAATCTGAAAAACCTGACATTCCATATTGAGGGTTTATTGTAAGGTAGTAAAACCAGATTTTATATCTCGTTTATTCCTACAACTTCTGATGTGCTTCCAAAAATGGTATTAAGGCAGCAGCTGAGGAAATTTTATGAGATAATGAAGCAGAACAGTTAGTGAAAGCCATCTGCTCAGTTGTTTACAAACTTGCTTCAATACTTCAGAGGCAGTGGTAGGGTACGTGTCTAAACTTCACAAGCTGCACTAGGTAGAAGTAAATGAAGTGCGCCTGAGCCGGGCTGAGCTCGGTCCCTCTCCGTGCAGCGTGAGCGGTTGCCAGGCAGGCCTGTTGGAAGCCAGCAGAAAGCACCACACAGAGGTGATTATGTGCCACCATCTGTCACGCTTCAAGCCCGCCGTACAGCATGGCTAATCAGCCTTGGCAGGATGATGGATGAGCAGCGGCAGCTGCCAAAAGCCACTGTTGGCAAACAGTCCTGAAGTGAAGAACTTTGTCCCCCCTCTGTCTTCCTCTCCAGGGTCCTGCTGCGTGTCCGCATGCTGTACTACCTGAGACAAGAAGTTATAGGAGACCAGGCAGATAAGATTTTAGAGGGTGCTGACTCAAGGTTAGTGCATGTGCACGCCACTCTGTACCTCCCTGTAATAACCCGGGCAGTCGGAAGACACCTTCGTCAGCCATTAGTGGCGCACGTCCCTGTTCGCGCCCAGAGTGCGATTTTTACCCTGTGAGCGAGCGTGGGCACGTGGAGGGGACCGGGGAGAGCGTGTTTGCATGTACGCGGTCCGTAGAAAAAGGTGGGAACCATGTTACTGGTGCCCTGAGGTGACCTTTAAAATGGGACACTGTGTGCGGGAGTCCATTTCTAGCCAGGGTAGAAAGTGACAGGCTCACACCCTTTCTCTCAACCTTTGCTCACTGCTTCCCACGATGCTCGGATGCGTGTTGCGGGAAGGGGGCACGCGAGCCTGTGTATCGTGTTTGTGGCTACTGCGGATTCTTCTTTACCATTATGTGTGTTATAAATGCCATGTGAACGGTGTGTTTACAGTGAAGCTGATGTGTGGATCCCTGAACCCTTCCATGCTGAAGTCCCCACAGACTGGTGGGACAAGGAGGCGGATAAGTCCCTCCTAATTGGAGTGTTCAAACACGGTAAGTGATGTTCCCGTTTGACCACATCTTGACTGTGTGGCTTTGTCGCTAGCACTCTTTGCATACCCTTTTCCAAAGTCATAATATTAATGAGGATAGTTCCAAAGGACTCTTGGCTTCCACCATTTTCCTGTACTAAAAATCTAATATGAACTGTAAATATCAGATGCTGTTTTTGAATGTTTGTTGAGGATTTGAGAAGAAAACATTTCTTTCTTGGCTGTAAATAAAACCCAAACCATATTTGTTTTAATAATAGCCAAGTTGTCCTATAGCTCCCTAAACTTTGCTTCTAGCACGGCTCCCCTTGCTGGCTCTGCCAACCCGTGTCAAAGTGGACGGTGGGCTTAACCTCTGCTATTAATCTGTACAAGTGCCTCCTGGGCTTTGTTCCAAGCAATATTTCACAAATGTCAGTGCTGAGAACTCACGGCTCCCCTGAGCGGGATGCAGCCTTGTTAACTTTGAAAGGCTGGGGATGCAGAACTGGCATGATATATACAGTGAGCGATTCCTGATTATAATCCCAATTCTCTGGAGGTCGCGGAGGTATTCTCAGCAGCCCGGCCTGACTAAAGGGGAGAATGATGGCTTATAAAACCTTTCATGATTACAGTTTGGCTTGCGGCTCTACAGCAGTTAGGAGCGGTGTGTTGTAGTACACGTCCTAATTGAATTGTGCCGTTCTGCCTCCGTACTGCAGCCGCGTTTTGTGAGCTCAGCCTAAAAATCATTTTCCCGCAGTGCACTGTTGGGATCTGCCATTTTCCATCTAGTCAACTTGGGCAGTCAAAAAGCAAATTGCAGTTTGAAAACCATAGAGGGAACAGTGTCATCTTACTGACATGCATCATCCTAAACCTAATAAGACAGGTTCGCTGGCCTTACGTAGACAGGGATTTTCAGCCAGCGGTGCGCATTCCTGCAGGACTGGGAGCCGTTCGCAGGAGGACAGGGTGGACGCAGAGTACCCTGCAGAGATCGTAAAGCAGCATTATGAAGCCTTTTAAATGTCAAGCAAAATTAGATCTTGGAGAAAATAGGGTCAAAAATCTTCCCAGGCATCTTGCTTGCAGTTAGTTTGAACCTGTTTCTCTTTTCGTGTCTGTGGTCATTCGGATACCATCCCTGAACTGTAACTTGACCCCCCAAAATCTGCCCCATAGTGAGCATTCTGTGGAATGCTTCACTAAAAACAAGGTTCCTAAGCGATCGTCTCAGTTGAGAGCTGAACTTGGTGTATTACGGCAGTGCTGTGATTTTTGTGAGTGACGGCCCTTCTGCTGTTTCTGTGCGTGTCCTCTGTGGGCTGGTGGGGACGGCGCAGGCTACGAGAAGTACAATTCCATGCGAGCTGACCCCGCACTCTGCTTCCTGGAACGAGTTGGTATGCCCGACGCCAAGGCCATCGCTGCCGAGCAGAGAGGAACAGACGTGCTAGCAGATGGCGGTGACGGGTAAGAAGGACATTTAAAAATTTTAATAAACTTTGTGTCAGTGTCACATCTATTGGCAGGGTTCAGTCCTTACGCTGCACTGTGCACTACGCTGCATCTGATTTGAACTTCAGTGATGTTTCCCAGTGTAGTCTGTTTATGTATCATCATGATTATTTAAATGCAATATATTACCTAGATCATCTGAGACTTGTTTGTTTTTTTCCAAATGACACTTCCCCCGCCTGCCTCTTCCCCCATGGCTGCACGATTTAAATACTGATCAGGTTGCCTTTGATGTCAAACCCAGAATTAAAAGTAGCATCAGGCAGAGGATTAGTCATCCCCAAGCACCCCCACCCCCTCCAGTCTCTTGCTTGTCTGTACAATTTAAACTTTTTTTTTTTTTTTACAACTTTAATATAGGGGAGAATTTGATAGAGAAGACGAAGACCCAGAATATAAACCAACCAGGACGCCATTCAAGGATGAGATAGATGTAAGAACTTGAGTATATTGACTTTTACAGCACCGTTAAAATATCATTTGCCCATATAAGACTTGTTAAACTTTATAGATACTGGCCCTTTCTTTAAAAGATAAAGCAAAATGAAACCCCAAATTAAAATAATTCTGTTTCTTGCTTTGCTTTCAAGGAATTTGCAAATTCTCCTCCAGAAGATAAAGAGGAATCCATGGAAATACATACCACAGGTAAAGCTCCATCAGAGCCCACGGAGCAGAGCAAATGTGTGCTGTGCAGACATTATTCATGTACCTGCACTTTTGCTTCTTTATGACGATGGTATCTTCAAATGTTATTTCTTCTATACTGACTCATTCCTTTTGTGAATAATTTTAATTGTTTATTATGGGTTTTTCATTACATTGAATTTCTTTGATGAAATAACTACTTTTTGGATTATGATAATTTGTATATATATATATATATTTTAAGCATCTTTAGAAATATATCTCGTGGGAGTAGGGCATTTGCTAGGAATCTGAAATATTGCAAGTTTATAGAATGCTGACCTTTTCCCTAATGTCAGATAATTAGCTACCAATTATGTGATTATGTTTTGCGCTCAAGATTATTATTCTAAGTACATTACAGGAGAGCACCCTTATATTGTAGTTCATGGCATAAAGTAGGTTTCTAGGTTTCTTTACATAAAACTGATAAGTAAACTTGTTTCTCCCTGCTAAGGAGTTAAAAAAAGAAAACTGTTTATAAATTTCATACTAATATTATCCTTTATTTATATTTTAAAAATGCGAGCACTGAGATGCCCTTTCCCACACTGTCACTTGAATGTTAATGAGTCATCTTGTTTTGATGGAAAATCCTGTGTATTGCAAGATTACAGCTACACATTTCAGAAATCTTTTTTCTGCCTCCCCAGGCAAGCCCAGTGAGAGTGCTGCTGAGTTAGGCCAACTCTACTGGCCCAACACCTCAACCCTGACTACCCGCCTGCGCCGGCTCATTACTGCCTATCAGCGCAGCTATAAAAGGCAACAAATGAGGCAAGAGGCTCTCATGAAGACGGACCGGCGGAGGCGACGGCCCCGGGAGGAAGTGAGAGCACTAGAAGCAGAAAGGGAAGCTATAATATCCGAGAAACGGCAAAAGTGAGTTTCTTCAGGGTTTTCCTCAGCTCCTGGGATGGGCCTCTCTCCTCTGCCCCTCTCGGCCGGCAAGAGGCTAGGCATCATGTCCCAGACGGTGATCAAAGAAAGCCTCAGGACATCAAAGCCCCCTGTCTCTCGCCCCCAGAATAAGTACCGTGTGTTAAGTTTAGGGAAAGAGAGGAAAAAAATGAATAAGCTTTATGCCTGTTTACTCAAGTACAGTTCAAGCTAATGTCTTCTTGCTCATAGGTGGACAAGAAGAGAAGAGGCTGATTTTTACCGTGTGGTATCTACTTTTGGAGTTATTTTTGACCCCATGAAACAGCAGTTTGACTGGAACCAGTTTCGAGCCTTTGCCAGACTTGACAAAAAGTCTGATGAGAGTTTGGAGAAATACTTCAGTTGTTTTGTGGCCATGTGTAGGCGAGTGTGTCGAATGCCCGCTAAGCCAGATGATGGTAGGTTCTCTTCATAACAAAAGTTCTATAGTAAAAGGCCCAGTACAGTGAAAAATAGAGCGTGAGCAATTGAGAGCATACTTAGGGTTTTCCCAAGTGAATACAATTGTTTTCATGTTACAGAACCACCTGACCTCTCCTCCATGATCGAGCCAATCACAGAAGAGCGTGCCTCTAGAACTCTCTACCGCATCGAGCTGCTGCGGAAAATACGCGAGCAGGTTCTTCATCACCCTCAGCTGGGAGAGAGGCTGAAGCTCTGCCAGCCGAGTTTGGATCTGCCGGAGTGGTGGGAATGTGGGAGGCATGACCGGGACTTGCTGGTTGGTGCTGCTAAACACGGGGTCAGTCGGACGGATTATCACATCCTCAACGACCCCGAGTTATCTTTCTTGGATGCACACAAAAACTTTGCTCAGAACAGAGGGGCAGGGAACATGCCCTCCCTGACCCCACTGGCCATTGGATTTGGCCAGACTCCTGCCGTCCTCCCGTCTGCTCACGTTCAGGAAGACAAGGCGACAGGACAAAGTGAAGGCAGAGCGGAAGAGTCTGGAAGCGCGGCTGCCCAAGAGAAAGCTGAGGGGAAGGAAGAGGAGGAAGAGACCGATGGCGGGGAGAAGGACAGTAAGCAGGGATGTGAGGCCGAGTCCAGCTCTGTAAAAAGTGAACTGAAAGGGATGGAGGTCAGTGCAGATACAGGGCCCAAGTCTATTTCAGAAAAAGGTTCTGAAGAGGACGAGGAAGAAAAGCTGGAGGATGATGATAAGTCAGAGGAATCTTCCCAGCCTGAAGGTAATGCCGCGCCATCTGGGCCTCTCTCGCCATTCCACCACGGCGGCTGTGACAGGCCATGTTTTCCTGTCACGTGACAGGGGCTTTTTTTTTTTTTAAATTATTTTTTAAGGGTAATTAGTGTACATTTTCTTCTGCGAATGGGTAATTTCAGGTTATGCTCAGGTGTATGTTTTGCTCCCATGCCCCATGTAAACACGGAATTTTGAACAACTTAAGCTCTCAGAAGAGGGTTATGGGCACGTTAATGATTTCCGGATTAAGAATAGGGGTTACCTTCAGGTACCTGGGTGTCTCCGTGGGTTAAGCGTCTGCCTTCGACTCAGGTCATGATCCCAGGGTCCTGGGGTCGAGCCTTGCATCGGGCTCCCTGCTCAGTGGGGAGCCTGCTTCTCTGCTGCTCCCCCTGCTTGTGCTCCCGCTCTCCCTCTCTCTCTCTCTGACAAATAAATAAAATCTTTAAAAAAGAAAAAAAAAAGAATAGGGGTTAACTTTATAGTAGCAGTGTGTTAAGAATTCTAAATGATTTTAATTTGGACAATTAAATGTGAAGGAGAAGAGTCATTCACTGAATCAATACTGGTAATTATTTTAAAACAAATGATGCCTTATTTTCGTTTTAAGTCCAAAGTAAAGGTAGAAGCAGAATCTGAAAATAACCAGTTGTCTTTGTATGTCGCAGTTAGGTTGCTGTTCCCGACACAGAGTAAAAATAAAGCCTCCTCTTGTACTGTTCCGCTGGAGCTGGGGCTTGGTACTCCGGCAGGTCGTTAGCCCTCTCTCCTGTGTGGAGGGACATTGTGTGGCGAGGCTCTTGAGTCAGAGACTTGGTTGTCATTCCGCCTCCTCTGAGATGTACGTGCTCAATGTCAGATAGCTAGTGATGTCACCTACCTAAGCCCATCTGCTGCTTCATCCATAAAATGAGAATAACACCATCTGTATGAAGGGGCCATCACCAGCTTTAAACAACAAGATTGTAAGATGCCGAATGCCATACTGGCCATATAGTAGGTTCTCAGTAAAATGGAGCTGGTTGATATTCAAATTTTTACCATGTCCTCTCTAAACTTCTTTTCCAGTGATACTCTGGTGGTGAGTAATGCACTTTAACTCATTTCTCAGTAGGAACTGTCTCTAGAGGGAAGAATTTTGATGAGGAAAGCAATGCTTCCATGAGCACCGCTAGGGATGAAACCCGAGATGGGTTCTACATGGAGGATGGAGACCCTTCAGTAGCTCAGCTCCTTCATGAAAGAACATTTGCCTTCTCATTTTGGCCTAAGGTTGGTGGGGTTTTTTTTGTTATTTTGTTTTGTGGACCAAAAAAGAGTGGGGTACAGGAAATCATTCTAGTTTGATTTTTTTCCGGCTAATTTTAAGGTAAACTTTGACAGTGTACGAAGACTAGATTTTTCTCATGTTTTAAAATCTGTGCAGTACTTTCGTAATAGGATAGGAAAGGTAACATGAAGGAAAGATAGGAAGTAGAATGCTTTGTATGGCTCTTTGGCTCCTTGAAGTTTTTTAGGTTGGTAATTAATCACATTGTCCGTTATAGTATATGGAATGTTGTTTCCATAGACTCACCTTTTAGCAGAATGAAATGTGTGGAGCTCTTTCTTTTTCTCTTTTTCTCTTTTTCTTTCTTTCTTAATTTTTTTCTATTGTAAAAACCACATAACATGAAATTTATGATCTTAACCAATTTTAAGTGTATAGTTCAGTAGTTTTAAATACATTCATATTATTATAAAACAGATCTCCAGGACTTTTTTGTCTAGCATGACTGAAACTTTATACCTGTTGAACAACCCCCTCTCCTCTCCCCTCAGCCTCTGACCACCACTACTCTGCTTTCTGTTTCTGTGAATTTGATTACTGTAGATACCTCATCATATACGTGGGATCTTGCAATATTTGCCCCTTTGGGACTCATTTATTTCACTTATTTTCAGCTTATCTTCAAGGTTTTATCCATATGGTAGCATGTGACAGGCTTTCCTTCCTTTTTAAGGCTTTCCTTCCTTTTTAAGGCTGAATAATATTCCATTGTATATATATATCACATTTGCCTTATCCATTCATCTGTCCTTGGGACATTTGGGTTCCTTCCCTGCCTTGGCTTGTTACAGTGCTACTGCGGACATGAGTGTACTAACATCTCTTTGAGATCCTGCTTTCAATTCTTTTGGTTATATATCACATGGTGATTCTATTTTTAATTTTTTGAGGAGCCTCCATAGTGTTTTCTGTAGCAATTACACCACTTGAGAAAGAGGTGCACAAGAGAAAATGAGTGGACTTTTTTAAATGTGTGTTTTAATTTTTTTTAAATTTAAAACAGAACTTCCAGATTTAAGACATCTTCCCAGGTTCGGAAACCTATCGTCTTCTCAAGTCGGGAGAGGTTGGGCTATGGACCCACCCATTTGTTCCAATACATTATGAAATAATTCTGAATGTAGTTATCTGTACCCAGAAGCCAAATAGAAAGTACTTTTTTGGCTAACTAGTGTAATTTTATAATAAATCCGTGTGTAATTGGGGTCTGTTTTTCAGGGTGGGGACATAATCATCCCATTCACCATAACAGGGCTGTCTGGTTTAAAACAAACGACACAAAAACAAGCTTCAGTTGACTCATCTCCAGGCTGCTCTTCCACAGTATTAGTTGTGTAAGAAACAATGTGAAATTTTTAGCTGCAGAGTGTATTCTTAAAGACCTTTTTTTCTCTTTATACCCTGTTATGCTGATCTCCCTTATTGAGTATAGAAAGGAGTTTCCCAGGTCAGTCAAAAGGTCTATCGTAGCAGACACTTTTAATCTATGGAAACTGGGCCTAAGAGCTGTAATTAGAAATTTTTAATGTACACGCTTCAGTGAAATTTGAAGTGATAATAGGTGGGGAATGCAAATTGACATTCATTAGGTGTTCCTAGGTTAGTGCCCATTTCGTAATGCTGAACTTTATTAATAGTGACGCTAATGATGTCCCACTTCCTGGGACAGACTGTGATCCAGCCAGTGGGTCTGAAGCACCAGAGCGTCCAGAAGCTAAACGCAGGGTTCCATTGTTGTCTGCCGGTGTTCACCGACAGTTCTTTAACTTTTGAAGTATTTCAGAGGTGGCTATGTAATGTTTCCTGGTTTATGTGATCCACTGTTTAAATTAGAAAAAGATTAGGCTTTCTGTGTTGGGGCCACCTTTAGGACCTTCCACCAGAGCAGAGCAGTTTTTGCAGATTTTGTTTATTTACTCGCTTTTTGTTTTGTTTTCTTTTCACTTTTTGCCCACGGATTGACTTTTAAACCTCTTCTGCTCTTTAGCATCTTGATGGAAATATTTATCTGGTAATTTTCACCATGTCTTTATTACAGTTTCGTGTGACTTTTCTTCTCCCTCCAGGACCGAGTAATGATAAACCGATTAGACAACATCTGTGAAGCAGTGCTGAAGGGCAAATGGCCGGTAAACAGGCGCCAGATGTTTGATTTCCAGGGCCTCATCCCTGGTTACACGCCACCCACCATGGATAGCCCCCTGCAGAAGAGGAGCTTTGCCGAGCTCTCCATGGTCGGCCAAGCTAGCATCAGTGGGAGCGAGGACCTCACGACCTCTCCTCAGTTGTCAAAGGTAAGTTCGCTTTGCTGTTTAAAGGCCAGCGCGCTAAATCGTCCCTCAGTCTGGGAGCTCGCGGCTCACTGGTCCTTCTTGGAATTAAGATGGCTGCCGTTTCCTCAGCTCTCTTTCAGCCATTATGAATGTTTAATACCTGAAGCTTCTTGTTCTTTGTGAAATCCAGCCCGTATGGCAGATACAGTTTGGGCTCATTATTTTATTGGGATTTTTCAATAGGAAGACGCCCTCAACCTCTCTGTCCCTCGCCAGCGGAGGAGGAGGAGGAGAAAAATTGAAATCGAGGCCGAAAGAGCTGCCAAGCGGCGGAACCTCATGGAAATGGTGGCCCAGCTGCGGGAGTCTCAGGTGGTCTCAGAAAATGGACAAGAAAAAGTTGTAGACTTATCAAAGGCCTCGAGAGAGGCAGCAAGCTCTACCTCAAATTTTTCATCTCTTACTTCAAAGTTTATCTTGCCTAATGTCTCGACACCGGTGTCCGATGCCTTTAAGACTCAAATGGAGCTGCTCCAGGCAGGCCTGTCACGCACACCCACGAGGCATCTGCTTAATGGCTCCCTGGTGGATGGAGAGCCTCCCATGAAGAGGAGGCGGGGAAGGAGGAAAAACGTGGAGGGTCTCGATCTGCTTTTCATGAGCCACAAACGGACATCATTGAGTGCAGTAAGTTCAGGAGCTCACTTGCATTGTGTGTGCCCACAGTGGCAGCCAGTGCCCTGCCATTCTGACGACACTGGCCTGTGACCCTCAGTGATAGGGCGTTAAAGCCGGCCTCTTCCACTACAGAGATAGGACCACAGTGAACAGTCATGGTTCAGAGCTGAAAAATTGTGTTGAGCACTGATACCGATCACTCGGCCTGAACCAAATGTAGCTTGAGGATTTATTCCTCCCAAGATGCTGATATATTGATTACTCTCGGAAGACTAGCCCAAAACAAAAACATGTTCTTCTGAGCCTGTAATTGTCATCTCTGAGCTCCTGAGGCAGAAAAAGCTTCTGCTCTTAAAAATAATGTTGTTTGGAGCCTGGCATTTATTAGATTAGTATAAATGTTTAGTTTCAGACTTAAGATTTGTGTTCATATACAAAGCTAGTGATTGCTAACTACCTCCGTAACTGTAGCTGTTTTTAAAATCTCAACTGAGTAAAGATCTGGGCTAGTTTAGGTTTGTATGAAATGTATGTGCCAATGGATTTTGACATTTTGTTTTTCAATTCAAAGGACATGAGTGCAGTGTAATCAGAATAACTATCTTCCCTAATCTTCTTCAACCATGCCACCTAAAAATGCACTGCCTACATAATGACGAGGGTTTTACCCCCAAAGAACCTGATTACATGTGGTCCCTTTTTAAGGGACACATGAGTACTGGTTATCTTCAGCCTTATCGATTTGGAACCCAAGTCAGCATAATGGTGCTGGAGCTTGTTTGTGCACGAGCAGCTGGCACTCCGGGAATGATGGGCCCTTTCCCTGCGGGTCCACAGTTTGGGAAACAGTGAAATTTGAAACTGAGCGGAGGGAGATGTTTGTTTTGATATTTTTTACTTTTTCCACCCCAGTCTTATTGCTTATTTTCTATTTCTTGAAACCTCCAGAAAGTTTAATAACAAGGGTAGTAAAAGGGGTGGTTGAGTTAAAGTTTAGAAATGACAAAATGGCATTCACTGGAATATGCCCTCTGGTGGGATCTGATTGAAACAGAAGCATCTGGGTGATTAAAAGTTAATTTTCAAAATTCGTTACCATGCACCAAGCATAATAACAGTCATTTTTGTTGAGCATATGATTCTTTTTAGAATCTTACAAAAATATACCTTGTGATGGATCAGCTGTAACTGCTTATTCCGTAAGTTAAAAATGCCATTTCTAGGTGTGTGGTCCCCAATGTTGATTGGGGATTGTGATTAGCCTCCACATTTGAAACCACCAAAACACATCAGACCACTTTGATAGATTTTGTTCCCTGAAATTCCTTCCTCCATAAGCATCAACAAGTTAGTGAGTTTCTGCATCTCATGCCTTTGTTTACTTTTGGCTTTCATATTTGAATCACAGCACATATTTGTCTGTGGTCCTGGCCATCAGGAATTAACAGTGTGAGCCAGGTGCTATTTTCCTATTGTAATTATATATCTTGTATTAAACTTCAGGCTGACTTTATTCGTTTCACACATTTTAAGTCATCCTGAAGAACTTACTAATGTTTCTCTTTTTCTAAAGTCACATAAGCAACCCAGCCCAAAACTCCTAATAGATGTTAGAGGTGTATTTTTAAGTTTTTGTTTGTTTTACTGTCAGATGTTAGAATTTCAGGATTACTCAGTTGGTATTGTGGATGGTTAAGTGCCTATACATACAATACAAGGAAAATGCTGATTAATCTATAGATAAACGAAATAGTGAAGCGGTGTAAAGGTCAGCAATGTTACTCGTATGGGACAAGACAAATCCTAAAATCTTGTATTATGTCAGTACTCAGACTGGAGACCGTTTTGTGTTGCCATGAAAAATAGGGACGCAGTCATCACACACTCGGCAACATGGTAGAAGTCGTCCCTTTGTGTGCTGGCCCCACCCCCAAGTACAGGGTTGTGAAGAATAAGGGCCTAACAAGTGCTTGCACTGGAGAACTCAGTGTTGAAGATGAGTGACAGATAAATAGTAATGTATCATAGCCGTGAGGCACGCCTGGAATACTTCGTGTGCCCAAAGGAAGAACGGGAATGGAGGGAAGAAGATACGGGGGGACAAAGATGAGGAAATTTCCTTCGACGTGGCCATACTTCGGTTGTTTTGAAGGTTGTGTAGGAGTTGGTCATTTGAAGAGGTTGCAGGGAGAACGTGCAAAGGGACTGAGGCCAGAGAGAGCCTTCCATGTCTGATGAACTGAAGGTCATTGGCATGGCAGCAGGGGAATCTGATGAGGAGGTGAGGTTCAGCAGAAGTGGGCTCGGATACAAGGTAGGATATAAATCGGGGAGGGCCTCGATTGCCATCTTAAAGAACTTGGATTTTATCCCGAAGGTGAGGGGGATTCAGTTATCCAAACAGTTTATTTTGTTTTGACCTAGGAAAAATGCATTTTTAGAAACCTGACTCTGACATAGCAGTGGGGAAGTCAGAGTCAAGAAGGGTGGAACTAGAATCAGGGAGACCATTTAGAACACCACAGTGATGTGGGGTGGGGGCGGTGATAAAGGCCTGAACCACAGTTGGAGCCATAGGAATGGACAGATGGGCTGCCATAAAAGATGTCTGGAGGTTGGAGTAACAATGTGAGGGCTACCAGCTGGACCATGGTAGAGGCCGGACTTCAGACAGACGTGGTATTTTCAGGGTTGCCACACGGACCTGCCGCAAAATGTTGTACTCCCGATAAAATTGTATGGTTCAGAGAGTGCTGTGTACAAGTTGGCTGTGGGAACATTCCTTTAATTATAATTTCTTTAATGATATTTTCCCAAGAGCCCCAAGAGAGATTGAGAGGCTACCTTTCATGCATGCGAAGCTCAGACTGCACTGCCCATGCCCTAGTGACTGGCTTAAGATCTCAAACATGGAGCGTTGATGGACTGTGAATTTCCTACCTAATTACTAATTCTACAGTGTGGAGAAGGATATTAAAGTTTCATCTTCTAATTTAATAGCTGTTCCAAAACTGACATTGTTTCAAGTAACTTTTTCCCTTTTTGGTCAAAGATCTGTTATGCTAGGATAGGGTTTTCTTGAGATAAGACATTTTTGGAATCTCTCTTCATAAGAGAAGAATTGAGACCCCTGTCAACTTTCCGCAGGAGGATGCTGAGGTGACCAAAGCTTTTGAAGAAGATATAGAGACCCCACCCACAAGAAACATTCCTTCTCCTGGACAGCTGGACCCAGACACGCGGATCCCTGTGATAAATCTTGAAGACGGGACTAGGCTGGTGGGGGAGGACGCTCCTAAAAATAAGGATTTAGTTGAATGGCTGAAGCTGCATCCTACTTACACTGTTGATATGCCAAGTTATGTACCAGTAAGTACAACAGAGTTCAGTCGGGACGAGTCCTGCGAGGACAGCCCTCGCAATTCTCCTGTACAACATAAAAATCCCTGGTCCCTCCGCGTTTGCTTGAATGTCTCCTCATCACGAACGTTTTCCAGTTTCTGTCGCTGTATATTTTACGTTAGAGAAACCAGCTTCAGGGCTGACGGGCAACCTCGTAGTTATTTGAAGACTCCTGTTAGGCACTTTCTTACTTTCTCCTTCCACCACATAGATACGATTTCTTCAGTTATTCTTTACATGGCCTGGTTTCAGGTGGTCTCATTATGGGGATGACACTCATGAATGCACTTTAATTGGCCTCCAGACCAGGTCTGACCAGCACAGAATACTATGAAGCTGTTACTTGCAGAAATTTGACTAGCTAATACAGCCCAGGACTTCATTAGCCTCTTTTTTTTTTTTTTAAACAACTAATACTTATGCCTTACATTAAATGGTATCTCCAGATGATTTGTCACATAAACTGCTTGCTAGCTGGCCATGCAGATCTTTTATTCCCTATATGCTTAGTGACTGGTTTTTTTTAAAAAACTTAAGTGTAGGGGGCACCTGGGTGGCTCAGTAGGTGATGCGTCTGCCTTCGGCTCAGGTCGTGATCCCAGGGTCCTGGGATCAAGTCCCGAGTAGGGCTCCCTGCTCAATGGAGAGTCTGCATCTCCCTCCCTCCCTCTCTCTCCCCCTGCTTGCGTGCGTGCTCTCTCTCTCTCTCTCTCTCTCTCTCTGTCAAATAAATAAATAAATAAATATCTTAAAAAAAAAAAACAAAACTTAGGTGTAGGATTTCACATTTTATTTTGTTGAGTTCAGCTTGAGTTGAGTCCTTGCCGCTCAGAACGCCCCCTCCTGCACAGGTCTTTTTACCCCTTGGGTTGCCTCTCAGGTACAGTCTGTCATAGACGTGACGTCATCTCTGTATTTGTCCAAGTCACTGAGTAGAAATTAGCAAAGGTCCTTGAGAAAGTTTCCTTTAAAAGTACCATGACTTGGTTAAAAAAGATAAAAAAATAAAAATACCATGACTTTGTTAAACATTGGAATAAAAGACTTTAAGTGGGGTTATTGGTAGACAAAAGGAAAAGCGAATTCTCAGCTTACGTGATCATTTAGTTCCTTAATGTACAAAGAGAAAAACAGCTTTTCCTTTTAAAGAAAAGTATGGTTTCTAATAACTGAAATGATTGCTGAAACTTCTATAGTAGTTAAAAATGGCTTGACTGAGGGTGCCTGGCTGGCTCAGTCAGTGGAGTGTGTGACTCTGGATCTCTGGGTCGTGAGTTCGAGCCCCACGTTGGGTGTAGAGATTACTTGGAGGGTGGGGAACGACTATGTTTTCTTTGTCAATTATGCAGGAAAGAATAATTACTAAATACCATTTTACTAAATATGTATCTTGGGTTTTTTTGCAGAAGAATGCGGATGTGCTGTTTTCCTCATTTCAGAAACCGAAACAGAAACGACATAGATGTCGAAACCCTAATAAATTGGATATAAACACTTTGACGGGAGAAGAAAGGGTGCCTGTTGTCAATAAACGAAATGGAAAGAAGGTGAACGTTTGGGAAAGGGAATTGATCTCCATGTGATTTCTTACCCCAGAAAGAAGCATTTTATCCTGTCATCTTTTTAAGGAAAAACAATCATGTTTTTCCAGGATATCTGTATATGATACGTGTGTGTATGTATGGGGGGGGCGGGGGGCGGGGGGGAATGTATGTGCTTTTAGATCATTTTCTAAATGTCTCTCCCCAGATGGGTGGAGCTATGGCGCCTCCAATGAAGGACCTGCCCAGGTGGCTGGAAGAGAACCCTGAATTTGCAGTTGCTCCGGACTGGACTGAGATAGTGAAGCAGTCTGTAAGTACATGCTGCACTTCTGTCAGGACAGGTGTTTATACAAAACCGTTGTCCTGAGCCTTTCTTTCTTTTCTGTTGACCATGGATTATTCAATTATAACTTATCTTTAGCTTAAAAGAATTGATGTAATACATCCTCATTTCTTATATCAGTACATCATTAATCCAAAGTGGATTCATTGGACGGCTCTGATTTTAAAGGATTGTATAGAAATATACGTTCATAGTCTTGTTAAGAGCCCACCTGTGGGATGGAATTCATGGCGGTTGAGATCTTAAGATTATTTTTTTTTTAATAAAGCATACAGCAGTTTTGCCTGAAATGTTTTTCCGCTTTAACGTCTTTTTAAGATTAATTTGTCAATGTCTTGATTTCTTCTTGTTTATTTTTTTTAAAGTATACAGTAAGATGTCTTATTTTTCTCTTGTGTACAGTTCTGTCAGTCCTAACGTGTAATTTCTTGAACCACCACCACAACCAAAGTACAGACCGGTCCATCACCTCCCCCACTCCCGAGTTCCCTTGTATTACTCTCCCCCACCCCCACCCCCACCCCCACCCCCGGTCCCTGGCAGCTGCTGATCTGGTCTCCATCCCAAGTTTTGTCTTTTTGAGGATGTCCTGTAAGCAGAAGCATAAATTCTATAACCTTTTTAAGATGACTTCATATTGAGATTTATCCAAGTGGGTTGCACGTGTCAGCAGTTTGTTCGTTCTTACTGCTGAGCGTCCCTCCAGTGCGTGTGTGTGCCCCTGTGTGTGGTTATCCATCACCCAGAGAAGGACAGCTGGGTGGCTTCCAGACTTGGGCAAATAGGAGTACAGCTGCTAAAAACATTTGTTTTGGGGTGATCATAGTTTTTCTCTCTCCAGGGTAGATATTAAGATGTAATTTTAGTTCATGTTCCACATACTTTTCAACTTGCTCGTCATGTATTATTTCTCGAGTTAGTTACGGATGCTGGTACCTTGACATTTCTTCCTCACCGGTAGGGTAGCCTTTAACAATTTTTCTGCAATTCTGCATAATACAGTGAATTCACGTGGTGCTAAAAGATAGAAGTTTTGCTTTCCTCAGTCTGGCCAGCACGCTTAATTTAGAAGGGAAAAAGTTGCTGATGTACTTGCGTCCAGAATGTCTGTTTTCCATGCGTCACGAGGGCCCGCCTGGAAATTAAGTTTTGGCCAGCCGCGTTTATAGCCACTGTTTGCCTGTCCGTTTGCTGCAGGGTTTTGTTCCTGAGTCCATGTTTGACCGCCTTCTCACCGGCCCTGTGGTGCGGGGAGAAGGAGCGAGCAGGCGAGGACGAAGGCCCAAGAGTGAGATCGCCCGGGCAGCGGCGGCGGCGGCCGCGGCGGCGGCCTCCACGTCAGGCATCAACCCTCTGTTGGTGAACAGCCTGTTTGCTGGAATGGACCTCACGAGCCTTCAGAACCTCCAGAACCTGCAGTCTCTGCAGCTGGCGGGGCTCATGGGCTTCCCTCCGGGACTGGCCACGGCGGCCGCCGCCGGAAGCGACGCTAAGAACCCCGCGGCCGTGCTGCCGCTGATGCTGCCGGGCATGGCGGGCCTGCCCAATGTGTTCGGCCTGGGCGGGCTGCTCAACAGCCCCCTCTCGGCCGCCGCTGCCGGCAACGCCTCGACGGCTTCGGGCCCAGGAGAGCCGGAAGACGGCGCTTCCAAAGCCGAGGACAAAGGCAACGAGAACGAGGACGAGAACAAAGACTCTGAGAAAAGCACAGACGCTGTTTCGGCTGCTGACTCTGCGAATGGATCTGTTGGTGCTGCTACTGCCCCGGCCGGATTGCCCTCCAACCCGCTCGCCTTCAACCCCTTCCTCCTGTCCACCATGGCGCCAGGCCTCTTCTACCCATCCATGTTTCTACCTCCGGGACTGGGGGGATTGACACTGCCTGGGTTCCCCGCGTTAGCAGGACTCCAGAACGCCGTGGGCGCCGGCGAAGAAAAGGCCCCCGACAAGGCCGAGGGGGCCGCCTTCCAGGAAGAGGAGCACCTGGAAGGCAGTGACGCCGAGGAGAACCTGGACAAGACTGCGGAGTCCTCCATCTTCGAAGACGAAGTAGCACAGGGTGAAGAGCTGGACTCACTTGACGGGGGGGACGAACTAGACAACAATGAAAATGATGAATAACCAGTACCAGTTCCAGTTCAAGTGTTTAAAACTTTTGACAAGTGGTAGTCCTACTGTTTACACTCACAGTTAATGTTCATACCTAGTTTTATAAGCTGTTCTGTAACATAGTGTAGCAAAAAAAGAAAAAAAAAGTCCAAGTCATGTTATACAGGTGTGTCAAAAGGTATCTTGGTCATTAAGTATTGTGCAGTGCATTATTTATTATCCCTAGGAGAGATGAAATTTGAGAGGTGATCATGTCTTTTTAAGGAAACTTACATAATGCTCTGCTTTTTTTTTTTTTTTTTCCTTTTGGTACCATTGGTATTATAATAAAGAGCAATTTGTAACTGAGTGGCACTAATGGAAGGAAGTGCTGCTCAAAGGAAGTATGAAGTTATATATTTAATTTTTTAATTTTAATTTTTTTGCTGTGAAGGTCAAGATGAAATTTACCGTACATATCATACTTGCTCATTGGTTTCCCTTTTGACCGTATGGGGGTTCCCACACTTGCGCATCCACACACATCCATACACTCTGACAATCTCCACGTTAGTGTGAACGTCTCTGTCCCGAGGCGCAGCAATAATAAGGCAGCTGTTGAATGTGAAGGGTCCCTTTGGAAATTAACCTACTGGGAGGGTTCTTGCCAGACAGAACTACAGTTCCATTGTCTCGTGGTCTTGTAATGCACTGGTATAAACAAAATAAATAGGTGAATAAATAAAGAGTGAGAGAAGAGAGAATCAGGTACCTTTTTTAAATTAAAGGACTTTGTTACTTTAGCCACAAAGCTAAAACAGCATTACCTCAGCTCTAAACTAGCCTTGAAGTTTACAGACATGACTTTGTAAATGTATTGTTTTTCTTTGTTGTGATGTCCTTTTATTTTTTTCTTTGAAAACTGCTATCATGTAAGATAAAATGTAAATTGCTGCCAACTGTAGTAATGATGCTTTTAATAAAAGTGACCCATGATATGCAGAGATGTAATTATAGAATGTAGTATGTAGGGAACTGGTGTTCACTCTATTTTTTGTATTCGCAATAGATGCAAATACAGCATTCTGGCCTTTGTACAGTTTCTTGATATATCCTCTTATGCTAGATTAGCTGTTAGTAATACGCTAAACTGATTGTCTTCAGACTGGACAGGAAGAAAAACCTTAAATTACCTTCACATAATTCCACTCCAGATATCTCCACAGAACCACACACAAAAACCTCCTATTACTCCCTCAAAAGGGCATCTGAGACTGAGAATACTTTAAAATGTGTGCAGCGTCTGATAATGTGGTACACTAAAGAACAAAAGGGCAAAAGAAAAATGAGGCTTTAATAGGCAGAATATCTAGGTCATTTATCCTTGGTTAATGGGTAGAAAAACACAATGCCGGAGTGTCAGCAAGGGACACAAAGGCGCTCCGGTGTCCCGCGGACCGGTGCTTGATGCCAGAAACGGTGTGGAAAACCCATGTGGAATTAAAAGGGGCCCACTTAAGCCGCCGCATGCGCACGCGCGCAGGCTGGGGAGCTGCTGATGTGAGCACCCCTTCGTGACCTCTGATATTTGAGGTTAAATATAATTTGAGAGCTACTGTTTTCCCCTTTTATGTCACCTGACCGAACACAAAGCCGCATTTCCGTGCAGCTGGAAAGGGAGAGGAAGGGATGTGGATGGAGTTGTTCTGTGTGTGTTGTCTCCGTCCACGCCCTACACACACACACACACACACACACACACACACAACACACGTAGCCCATCCCCCACTAGATGTGTTACAAGACAGACTGTCTGAATTCCTTGTAGACACAAAGATTCAGTTAATTTTTACCCCAAGATGGAAAATCTACCCATCTGATTCTGGAAAAGGAATAACTCGAAGCCTCCATGTTACCCTATGGTTGCTTTTACCCACCATCGTTACTGTTCTCTCTTGAAAGTTAACCAATGGGTAGTGTACACCAGAGGGAAAAGTGCCTTTAAGAGAATATTCTTCTGAAATGGAACTCTTTGAACATGGGGTGGGGGAGGGGGAAAGACTAGATCCGCACAAAGTATAGGGAGTTTAAATATTTAAAACAAAGATTTTTTTTTTAGGCCTTAAAATAAGACGTTAGGTAGGGAGAATATGTTTAATAAAATGAGTCCGAGAAGGGCCTTTTTCTAAAATACTTTATAGCACTGAAGTTTTCCTATGACCTTGTGTAAATAGAACACGCGATGAGACTGTCTGTTCCAGAAGAAAATGCCAAGAGCAAAGGCATCGGTTGCTTGTGGCCAGAAGGAACCCTGAGTTGAGAGATGGGTCACCAGCTGGCTCTGCGTTATCTGGGATTTATTTGTTAACACGGCTTTAAAGTCATTCAGATTTCCATGTTGGAAAATGCATTTTTTTTTCCTTCTAATGGTATCAATTCTTAATGTTAGATCTTGAATTTACCTAAGAAATATTTTAAATTCAGTCTGACCCTTAATAACTAGTGTTCGTTGTGTGCTGAGTGTCAGTAAAGTCCTGAGGTGTGCTACGTGCTTTGCATGGCATCGCTGCCCCATCTCCCTTCTCTGAGAGGGAAGTGCTTTTTCTTCCAGGGGGATACTGAGCCTTACAGAGGTTTGGGAGTTGGCCAAGCAGTAAAGATAGGAGCTGGGTAAGAACTCAGGCAGGTTGACATCAGAATCTACTACTTAACGGTCTCCAAAAAATACGGCGCTCGGGTCTCTGAAAGACAATTATTACAAAATGATGTGAAGTGTTTGGGGCTTCTCTATTTTTGCAAACCGCCCCCCCCCCGCCCCCAATCCATAAGGGATCTTAAGTTTCAGACTGGGAATTAAGAGAAAGCCTATGTCAAGTAGAACAGTGTGAGCTCTGGCTATGGAAACTTGAGTCCCAGTTACCTCATTTAAATTTGGGTTTATCTGGCGCCATGAATATTTCCATTTTATAAAGAAATCAAGTCTTTGGAAAAGATAAGCTTACTCAGGCTTCCGAGTTAGTAAATTGCTGGTATTTGAACCCAGATTGATCCAACTCCAAAGCCCAGGCACTTAACTGCCAAGCTAGTGTAATTTTCATTAAACATTTGGGGGGTGCTATGTGCTAGATGCGGTTTTAGTGGCAAGAATATCGCAACGAAAACAAAAACAGACTAGTCCCCTACTGTCATGGAGCTTACACTCGAGTAGAAGGAGACAGGTGATAAGCAGATTACACATAAAACTTTCATAGATCAGGGAAGACTATTAAATAACACAATGGGGTGGTCAGGGAGCCACGCAGTGGAGGGGGCAGCTCCGCTTACTGCCTGAGTGATGAGAAGCGGGAGCCAGATGAAGATCTGGCTGGAGGATGTCCCGGGCAAAGGCAAGAGACCAGTGCAAAGACCCTGAGTTAGAGAGTGTGCTTGGAAGAAGGGGCTTCTCGGGCAGCATCTCTACCTAGAAGAAGAGGGAGGCAGGGACCAGGAGGGCCCTGTTGGAGAGCTTGGATTTCCTTTTAGGTGCTGTAGAAAGTGCTTGGGAGGTTTTGTGCAGGAAAGCGGTGTGATCAAATTCATCTTTTTAAAATAAATAATCACAGTGGCTGCAACGTGGGAAAAAAAAAAAAGGCTTGTAATGAGGAGCCGGAATTCTAGTCAGGAAGCTGCTGTAGCAGCCTTGGATCAAGGAAGTGGTACAAATAGAGGCGGAAAGCCGTGGGTGGATTTGGGGTATATTTCAGAGAGCTAGAGCCTCCAGTTTAAATTATGTGAATAATTTGAATTAACTTTAGGATTACTCCTTCTGAAATATATCCAAAGGTGAAACCAATGTTGGCTATGCTTTTTTTTTTTTTTTTTTTTTTTAAGGAATTGGACAATAAGTGTTACAAGAAAAGATACTGGGAACAGAAAATTTTCCTCCCATGTTCTGTTACGAAATTCTCTCTTGAGTGAAAATTGTTAATTATCTTTGGGAAGAGTTCTTAGACATTATTTCCAACAGGTAGATAGGGGCGGTAAGAGCGTATGCGCATTGTTGAAGTGATGTGTGCGTGCGGTGAACATCACTGTGCAACTATAGCCGTCAATAAATTTAAACTAGGAAGCAAAACAATGTCAATGACTTCTAACAAGCGCTTAAAAGTTAGAATGTCTTACTCATTCAACTGGGCTCTCTAATGAGCAATTTTATGTATTTTCTTAGCACAGATAAGATTTACCACAGTTTTATAGACGTTTTATAGGAAAGTAAACTACATTTGGCAAAATAGAAGAATAAATTACCCTCTGGAATATTTAATGTAAGGCTCCTTTAGTGAAAAGCATTTCATCATTGAATTTTTTGTTGGGAGAGTCACCCAATTTGGAGATTTTTCTGGCGGGTGTTAGGTTGATGATTTACAAAGTAGTTTGGACTATTAAGTCATTTGTATGTTTTAAGGTTTCTCCTTAACTTTCCTCTTGCTCCCATTCTTATTCTTGAGTCTCTAAACCAAAATTAAAACAACTCCTTGTGTATGTGTGTTGGCAATGTAGCACTAATCTTCCAATGGGTCTGTTGATCTGCAGATCTTCCTTTGGATCTACCAATGTAGAGTTGAATTTTAATTTCTATCTCCTTAACGAATGAGTGTTTACCATGTAATTTAAATGAAGTCGGAGACTAGGGTAATGACAATTAAAACTTCAAATACAGTCTTCTTTCATCGGACATCTTTATCTTCAGAAGCATTGACTCATATAATTTGTTTAGCTCCTAAGCTGGTTGAAATTTTCATCAACTGAACAAACGTGGCAGAACCCACCTCCAAATGCTTACAGATAGTTATTTAAGTGTTTTGGTGTCTCCCCACCAGATTCCTTCCCCTGAACCTTTCTTATTCACGAGGTCTTTCCAGGCTCCGGGTTAAACATCATGGGGAGTTTTGAGTTAGAACTAAACGACAACATAATAGGTTCCTAATGTATAATAAAGACAAACCCAAAGTCAAGATATTGTTTAGGAACCACTTCATGCTCTACTTTAGGTGGCTCCTCCGTTGTCCGTTGCCCATGCCTGCATCTCGATCTGAAAGCTCGATTTCAAAATTACAAATGAGAGAAACCTGATTCTCTTGTGACAAGATCCAGGTCCTGCGGTTGCTTCACACCCTTTGCAGCCCCAAATCACCTCGTCATTGTCAGCTGCAGCTCAGGAGACTTCACCTTGGACATTGGCTGGATGACCGAAAGCTTTGGCAGGCTGTAAATGTCATAGTTGGGAGAGTACGTGTCCTGTTTTAAAGCAAAAAACTCAGCCTGTCCGACGTGTTCCTCCATGTTTCCTTAGGAATCAGGAAGCTCGGGCACCTGGGTGGCTCAGTTGGTTGGGCGACTGCCTTCGGCTCGGGTCATGATACTGGAGTCCCAGGATCAAGTCCCGCATCAGGCTCCCTGCTTCTCCCTCTGACCCTCCCCCCTCTCATGTGCTCGCTCGCTCTCTCATTCTCTCTCTCAAATAAATAAATAAAATCTTAAAAAAAAAAAAAAGGGAGTCAGGAAGCTCTTTGAATTTTAGAATTCAGCGTTTTCATTTGCTAAAGGGCACCTCTGAGCTAATCGACACCACACCCCAGTGAGGTAGGTCCATGTTCTTGCCGCCTCCCCTATTTAGCTGGTGGGGGGGGGTCACTGCCCAGGGCCATGTGGACAGACAAGTGTGGTGGAGGGAACTAGAATTGAGGCTTCTTCAGTGTAAGCTGTGTGTAGTGGCGGACAGTCTCAAGTAAGCACCTGCCGTTCATGTAAGCTTAGGTCTACAAAAAAAGCCCCAAACCTGAAATAAAGTAAGCTACAAACTCTCTTAAGAACAACTGATGTTATGATCTGAAGAACAAACCAGAAGGTTCCGGAATCTCATGCTGCAAGACAAAAGGGCTAGTAAAGGATGACTGAAAGATGTTTAAAAAAAGAAAAATGTTTAAGTAATCATGAGCAGGCTTCACATCCATGTTGATTTTAGGATATAACCTATGCAACTGATTGACAGTCGACATATATTTGCACCATTATTGAGGCTTAGTCTCTAGGCTCTTTGGATAGCGGACCTTGTA